GCGCAGTTGCAAACAGACTCCGTCCGTCACCAAGGGGGTACTCAACGGGGAGCAGGCGCCACCGTTTTGAGGCGCCGGCGTCGTAGTTCCTTCGTGTACGTCGTCGGCACCTCCGGGCAGCGTCAAACCGGACCCTCCGGACGCAGCCGACCCTCCGAGCTCCGGCTTCGGACGTCCAGGTTTGAGCGTAGTAACACCGGCACGGAAGGTGGTCGATGCTCTAGGGACATTATCGAAGCAGTAGTATTGGTTGGGCCCACAGTCGGAGGACCGGGATATTTGAATGGTCCTGCATTTGCTGGAGATGTGGATGCCATCGACGCAGACGCCGTCCTTAAATGTCGATTGGGTGCGGGGCGAGCACGCTCTGTCGGAGAGATCTTCATCGACACGGTCAGCACTAGCGCTGCTGTAGCTGCCCGCGGGGCGGCGGTCTGGTTGTTGGTGGCGTCCGAATCAAAACTGGAGTCATTGAAGCAGCACCAACTGCCCGTGACGCAGTCCCGGGAGGGCGACGCCTTCTCGTGGTCGCCGACGCAGCGGGAACGCACTTAGGAGACGGTCATACACGTTCCGTTCGTGACAGCCGGGAGGGAGGAAGGGATGCAGCTGCGCGCTGTGCAGATGCCCAGGGCGCAGGTTAACAGAAAAGAAAGTAGCGCACGTCCGCCCGCCCATGCTGGCGACGGAGTAAAGATCTGTGGTAGAGCGCGGGCTGTACACCATGCTCAAGCGGTCATAAAAAAGGATCCGAATAAGAAACGTCTTGCTGGACGAAACAAAGAGATGTCTCACGTAGTAAGTTCCAAAGCGCAATGAGAACAAGAATATCTACTCTAGGCAATCAATCACAATTCACAAACACCTTCTCGACACTGCCGATACAGCTGAATCGCCTAAGAAAAATTAAATATTCGGTGGAAAATTCTCCTGCCATGGAATAAGTGATCTCGCCGGTTTATAGCGAAATCCTCTTTCCGCTTGCGGTCTATGAAGGAACTGTTGTAATTTGCCTCAGCACTGGAGACATCGTTCACAGATTAAATCAATCACTTGCATCGTCTTCACATTTCTATGAGTCGGTGCGCCCGCTGACAGATGACTTTTCAATCTGTCAGTTGAATTATGTCCAACCCGGAAGTTGGAAAGCAGTATATGGCACATATGTAGTGGTCAAACCGGTCAGCAGCAGAATGTGCTTCGAATTGGCTGCCGGGTTCGTTCAACAGCGCACAAAGATTTCAACGGATCAACAACAATTTTACAAATTCTGAGGGATTGTTACGAAAATTGTTTTTTGCTCAGCAAGGCACTTTTTTCGATTCCTAATCCCGAAAAATCTCATCTTTTGTAAAGTACTCGCAGATAGAATACTAACCCAATATGCCTAAAGATATTTTTATCTGGAAAGGTGAATAGGCAGAGCTATTTGTCCGTATTCTGACCGACTCAGCCGGAATTTGTCCCGTAATTTCCGCCGCAATTACGGGGCAATTCCGGGACAATTACAGGACAAATTACGGGGCAATTTCTACCGCAATTACGGTAATCCGTAATACTACTTTGTCCCGTAATTTCTAGCGCATCAACACATCGAAAACTGCAGAAGTCAAGGGTTACGCCAAACTCCATACCACGGCGCACTACGCCCCACTAAACATGCTCTACACGCATCTGGCATGCCTAATGTATGCCAAATATCCATCTAAACTATAAACGATACTATAGACCTTTAATGGGTATCACATGTAAGTACAGAATGAGTACTAAAACAAACGAGATTTAAAGCAGAAACACTTCCTCAATGCTATCCTGCTCGGGGATTGTACCCATAACACATATCGCGTTTCCCCGTTGCATTTGGATAGATAACCGCTGTCTAAAAAACTCTTTCGCCTGTTTCTGGCCTGTAGCAGAGGCGATACCGTTTCCGACCTTTCGCACTAAAAGTTTAGTCCCGTTACTCCATGGGCCATAAATTTCGAGCGCTGCGGTGGTGAAATTGTATCTCGATTGCATCCAGGCATGTTTTGCCAGTTTTCTTCTTTCTGCTTGTTCGGCTACAGCCCCAACGTTTAGCGAAGGTGCGCTCAGTGTACGAAGCTACAAGTGTATCGACGCACGTCACGTCCACTGCTAGCGGTTTTCCCGTTCTCACGGTACTAGTGTGATCACATCCGGCCTCTTGTTACCTTTCGCGGATAGACCTTTCGGTTCCATTCTTGCGGGGAAACCGGCCGTCTTTAACCCGCGAGTGAACTGCCCACTAACTATAAAATATCACTAGAAATTATATAATATTAACTTTTCTTCTTTATAATTAGATATGCTGGGAGTAGTGAATTTATTATTGTGGTGGACGCAGTGCAGTGTGGACTTTAAGATTGACCTTTAAGAAGTATCATGATGCGAGTACAAAATAAGTACCAAACAAAACAGCATTATAAAACAAACACTTCCTCCATGCTATCCTGATCGGCGATCGTACCCATCACACAAATAACACAAATCACGTTTTCCCGTTGTATTTGGATAGATACTCACAATCGTTCATAGCGCAACTTCGCGCTAAATACCTAAATACTTGTACGCGCTAAACACCTTCGCGATTGAAATTACGGGCAAGCTTGGACATCACAGCATCCACAGTAAACTGTATACAGGACAACACCTCCTTTCGGCGCACGGCTGATATGCAACTGATATTTATTTGAAAACTACTTCCCCGTTATTATTCTGTTACTGTCAGAGATTCCATTCTACAATTTCGTCCTACCAGTTCAGCAAATCATCTACAGTTTGTTTTGTTTTTTGGTTTGATGGACGCAGCGCGAACGCACCTCCTGGTCGGTCATACACGTGCCGTTCGTGACGGTCGGGTGGGACGTGGGGATACAGCTGCGGGCAGTGCAAACGCCCAGGGCGCTGGTTAGCAGGAGGAATATAGCGCACACGCAGCCGCCCATGTTGGCGACGGTGTGAATGTTTGGGGAAAAGCGCGGGCTGTGCGTGCACACAAAACTCAGCCGATTTTATGCAAGGAGATTCGAATGTACGTGTATTATCTAGAAGAAAGGAAACGATGCCGGCGAATCTCTTCATTCAGCGCCGCAACATCATTTATTTTTCATGCATTATACTGCGAAAAGCTACACCAGTACCGCGACTTAGTTTTTCAATAAACAGAGCATCAGTCTTTACGTTACCGATAACTAAAGCAGCATTGCCTCGTTGATATTCGGCCTGAAATGCCTACTTTCAAATCTCGCCAGTTGGTAAGGAAATTCTCTTCTTGACCTCTTTGACAAAACTTATTGAAAAGAAGTATTTTTCTGAGCATTTAAGCCAACTGTATGTTTAAGCCAATTTTGCTACAAACCGGCGACATCCGTAGCCTCGAGTATTTAAAACAGAATATTTCTTTGGCTATTCAACGGGGTAACGCTGCTTCTGTAATTGGTACTGTTGAAAGTGTTGTTTTGTTTAATCGTAAATAGACCTTGATATTGTTATCGAGCCATGGAAATAAAGTGCATCAACAGTATGTGCCTTTGAGTCGGCGCAAATGCTGATAGACTATTACAAAACCCGTCAGGCGAGTGTCCAACCCGGAAGTCGGCAGCCGCTACATGGTAGATGGCCGCGGTGGTCAAACCGGTCGTCCGCGGCAGGATGTCGGTGTGTTGAACGGCCCACGGTCAGCTGCTTCTTCTCATCAGCGGAGTATACACTGTACAGCATCCCAGAATCAGTACTACTGATTCAGTAGTGCGACGAACGGCAAGCACGAGTAATTCCTCTGCTGCGTTTTAAGAATTTTACGACATTGGCGTATCGGGGCGGTGCCGCTTGTTATATGTACGGGTGCAGTTATCTGAGACGTGCGAGTAATGGAGATTGACCAGATAAGGTTGTTTGAGCGTACCGGCGACTAACGTGATGAGGTCATCCTCTGGTTTTCTGAGATTTCGGTCTTGAATTAAGGAAAATGGCAGGGTACATGCTTTCAAAAATGGTACACATGCACTCTAAAAATTTTGCTTTCGCGCACTCCGAATCACTTTGTCGTAATACTTTATGTCATTCTAAAGCTATAATTATGATTTGTAATTTTGTACACATGGTTCTGAAAACCGTTTACGCGAGGAACATCTGGTTGCAGAGATATGGCGAACTAAATAACTAAATGTAAGAATCTGGCCCGTAGTCAATTACTGACCTTTGTGGCCATTAATTGACAAAAAAAGGTCATTAACTGACTATGAACGTAGACGTACGAGTGGAGATTGTAATGTAATTTGCCAATGCATTACAGGCGCGACTGGTAGAACACAGCATGGCAACAATAAATAACCACCATAATAAATACGACCACAAAAGGTCACTGCAGGAGGGATTGTTTTCAGCACAATGCTGTTTATTAAGGTGTAGGAGGAGACTAGAAGTTAAGTGACCCGGTACGTTCATTTTTCACGCACATTTTTGCATTGTTTTATGACATTTTGTATGCCTTAGCGTGAACACCCAATGTGTGCGAACGATGATTAGGCAGTTTTGGCTCATACAAAATTCCAACAAGTCCAAATGCAATCTGTTGTACCAAGTCTCGGCGGACAATTTCTTTAAATTTTCGCATGTAAATCCACAAAAGACTTTGTACAAAAATCGTTCATACACCGAACCGCGGAATTTTTCTAAAAATTTAAAGGGAATTATAAGATATCAGGCACGAATTTTAACATCATGTGTCGGGTCACTTGCCTTAACACGTGAAGTGAAATAACATATGAACATGTGAATCATTGATTTTGTTGTAAAATATGTCAGCCTTTCATAATTTTTCCCCAGTCTGAAATCGTGAAGGTGATATGTCTGAAGTGAAATCGTTGTTCAAGTACACAATTACTGTTCGGAAAAAAACCAGCTGACAACACGCATAAACAGACCCATCGACGATCTGTCGGTTATACCAAAAAGTGCAGATATCTCGGCAATAAAGGAGCGATACGAAAGATTTATTGAGACAAAAAAAAGGAAACCTGTAACCAAAAAAATGCAGCGTACAACGACCAACAATCACCGACTTCACTCCACCGGATCAACACACCGTTGCACCACTAGAATAAAATTTCTACAAGAATAAAAACCAGCGAGGCGTCGCGAGACAAATGAGCGAGAGCAGAAGATTCAATGGGCAAAACCCAGATCCGAAGAAACCATGTAAAATGAATCAAAAAACTGATACGACCGCGATCCGCACATAGACCCACGCCCATCACCGACCACGAGATAAAATTAACGTTCTAAGGCAGAACCCGCCCATCCCCACCATCCCGGTCCATCCACGCCATGACGTCACACAGACACCGGTCGGTGAGGGATCCCGCAGGCGTACACACAAGAAAATAAAAGTGGAGCGATGGAATTTGAATTCTATTCCCGTATCACATCAGTGGTCGTCGGGGGTACAGCCCACAAATAGACGGATTTTGTTTTCTACACGACGCAGATTTCGAATGGATGGGAGATTCATCGGTCTCCGTGGGGTGAGAGAGATGCGAGGAGGCTGTTCTACACCAGATTGTACTCTCTGAGATTCAGCTGCAGAATGGTGTCTTTCACCGCCGCGAATACAAACCGGATGTTCTCCGTGTCTGCAGTAATAATCATAACATAGCCAATGTTAATTTATTCGAGAACAACAAAGTGCTCGAAAACTCGTGCGCACAAAATTTTGCAGGGCAAAAAGATTTTTTAAATGCTTCCTTAATAGCTGTCAAACTGTCATGTTTCATTTAACAACCGGAAAGCGGCAACGCATACTTCTACGTGACGAGACTAACTGTGAATGGACCACTGTACTACGAAATTTCTGTGCAACCTCTGGTCACTTACGCAAGTTACGCACCACTTTCGGTTGATCACAAGCGAACACATTTATACAGGTTTATAGCGAATTTATAATAACAATTTTGAGAACATGAAACGGCACGCTTAGGCACCATTAATATCTTACTCTTCATCATAAGAAAATCACCCACCACATTTCTACAGATTCAGAGCGAATTTAATTTTAAGCGTCTTGAGCACCTACAACCAAACCGATTTACAAAAATTAACAAAAACATTTGCGGATAGCCTGTTAAAGTCTCGGTTAATGGACTGTGGCTACTGTACCTAGTCGCAATAACAGTAATTAATAATATTAACGATGCCGTCGTGTTCCCTTGCCAAAGGGCAAAGAAAACCTTAAACGCTGATTTTCTCTTTGCCAATTCTTTTTTGATGCACCTTCTTTTTTTTACAGCCGGAGTGCGGCATTTATTCCTCAACAACAAAGTGCTCGAACAATTCCCGTGCGTAAAAAACGTTTTCCAAGGCAAAAAGATTTTTTAAATGGTTCGGCTGAGTGAAAGGTTTTCAAGCTGTCATGTTTGTCTGAAAGTAGCAGCAACGTATACACAATGAGGATAACTGTTAATGAACCACTGTACTACGAGATTTCCTATGCAAACCCGGGTCACTAAGGCACCATTAGTATGCCTTACTCTTGATCATAAGAAAACCACTATATTTGTACAGGTTTACAGCCAATTTATAATAAAAATTCTGAGCACATAATACGGCTGACATCCGGAGAAGCAGACTGCAATATTAACATATGACAGCAAGACTAAAAATTGCACTCTGCGAAATTGTTAGCTGGCGACATACCTGTGGCGCAGGTGAAATGCGAATAGATAATCTTATCCGGATCGGGATTCAGATCGACGAACATCTTCAGGATGAACTCTCGCGCCGATTGAGCATCCCGCGCTGGACCTGCCAACAAGAGTATTCTCGGCCTCACTTCAATAAAATACTATTATTGATGATAACGGTGAATCGGTAATGCAGTATCAATAATAAAATTATTAACGGTAATAGTATTGAATTTATTTTGATCCTGGATTTCTCATTCGGAATACAGCCATCTGTTGAACGTACTACCTAAAGTCGCACCAAATTAACAAGGAAACAAAAACAATAACACATCACAATATGGTATAACTATTAATATGAATAAATTTATGATTCTCAAACAATAAAATACTGTGATTGAGTATTAAATAGAATGGAAAATCAGTTGTCGTGATGTCGCCCGCGCACTGACCGTCAAATTCGGGGAAATAGTCGGCCAGATGGCTGACCATGATCTTCTCCTCCAGCAGATCCTTCTTGTTGAGAAAGAGGATCACGGAGGAGTTCTGGAACCACGGGTACGTGATGATGGTCTTGAACAGCGCCTTCGACTCATCCATGCGATTCTGCCGAAAACACACACGTGACAACGAAAATCCTTCGACCTTGTGTTTCATTTGATAGCCGTATTTATTACATATAAATACATTTTCCGCGTCATCACCGGCATTATTGCCTCGCCATTTCCCGTGAATAAAATACAAAGAAATCCTGAATTTGCAAAGTGAAATAAAATCTCCGAATTCATCAAGCGGCTAAACAATTAACCGGCGATTTCCTAGCAGACAAACGAGCGGATTAAGGCGCAGCACTCGCGGATTACCGCGAGTGACCTTCAGGATAGCAAACAAATGAACAGCGGCTTCGGCGCAACACGCGGGTAGGGAGAAGCACTCAGTGCGCTCTCTTTTTCATCGGCTATTCAGTCGCGCGTCGATAATTACAGCGCTACCTGTGTCTTACACGGAAACCGCCGGCTCGCTTGTCCTACTCAGGGGAATCGGTTTTCAAGCACCGGTGCGCGTCATACACGCGTTTTTCCGTGATCTGCCTCGGTTAGCCGTCGGAGCTCAAGGTAGGGTTGCAATTCAAACTGTTCCAAGAGATTTTCAAACAATTTGAAATTTAAAACTCTGTTATTTCTTCGGTTCTTTTCTCTGGAATTTTCGTCGGATTGCGCACCATTTTTAGCTGCAAAAATTTATTTACAGATGATCCTTAGCCGATTCAAGAATTTTTTTCGACTTTAAATAACAACTGTATTCGGGTATTCAGTGAGTTTCTCGACTCTGAGTAATAATACAATTTTTCCAAATATTCAGTGATATTTTCGACCTAAAATAACAATTATAATTATGTTTTACTTAAATATTCAGAAATTTCCTCGACTTCGAATAAGCTAGTTGATTTACTGAATTATTCACTGATTTTTGTCGACATCAAAGAACAATTATATTTTGCTTAAATATTCAGTAAATTCCCCAACTTTGAGTACAGGAACTATTTGATTTATTGAAACGGTCACTGATTGTCTCGACCTGAATGAACAAATGTATCTTATTTATTTATTTAGTTTTTCCATCGGCAACGGCTGCCACCACACAAAACCAAGACTCTGATTTGGGAATAATTTGAAAAGAATAATAAAAAAAATGGAAAAAGTCTGAAATGTGGATGTGAAGCGCCAGCGAAGGGTTGCTGTTGATCGGTTACTGGCCTACCTCGTTGTCGGACTCGACGAGGACCTGGTCGTACTCGCTGAGTGCCACGAGGAACATGATGGAGGTGACGTTCTCGAAGCAGTGGATCCACTTGCGGCGCTCGGAGCGCTGGCCACCCACGTCCACCATGCGGAAGACGATGGACTCCAGGTCGAAGGGGTACTCGATGATGCCGGTGGTGGGGACGCGGACGCGCAGCACGTCCTGCTGCGTGGGGATGTAGGCGGGGTCGGACACGCGGTCCAAATCACACAGATAACTACACAAGCACACCATTAACTACAACTTTAGTACCATAGAAAAACCTTATTCACACGAAATCACAGATATTACAATCTAGACAAAATTAACCATCCAGTGGCTTCCAGTGGACAGCAGCATACAGAGGTACAGTTGCTCACAAGCCCACATTTTCACACCACAGAAACATACCAAAAAATTTAATATTAACAGACGATTTATTACCGTTTACCGAATACAGTTAGGTGTGCGCTTCATTGCGCACTGTGTACGACTAACGCATAATGCATGATTACTGGCTGACAGCTTTTGGAATTTATTAAACGTAGTGAAGTCATTGTTGTTGTACATGAAAAAAAATTCAAACAAAAAATTGAAATAAACCAAATAATGCAGTGAAATAAATAAAATAATGTTCATTAAGAACGTATTCATTCGCGGTAAGAAGTAAGTAAACTATATATAGTCCAACGTAACTGAAAGTAAAAAGATATGCATGGAAGCAGTATGTGAGGTATTTGCGGATTTTAATTACAGGAATTAATCGACTGACAAATTAGCATCAGTGAGGATCACTTATGCCATCGTACTACGAAATTCATCAGAATATCAGATGCTCCATTCTTGAGAAGTGACAATATCTGAATAAGCTCTTGCGTGCTATTTAGAATTAAAATTCAGTACAGTACTTCATAATTTCACACTGTTCCGAGAAGCATCACCATTGCAACAGTATCTCGCCGTTTTCTTACAGAAAAAAATCGTATTCGCAAAAATACCAGCCTGTTAATTTTAATTCTAAATATCACGTACAGACATTACGTACATCACGTATTAGTCTTTTATTCAAACTGGATAAAAATGATAAAAAATGTCAAAAAAATTAACAAAACTTAATATCCCTCTCCACTGCCGTTCACCACTTCGCCACCATGACCTTTGCAGTTAAAATTAACAATATCCGATAATTCACTAGATATTCACGGCGTTACCGCAACGCCAAACGGCATCTATTCAAATCGCACGATAACTACATCCGCCACTGTTTGTAAAACACACTTGAGCACGTTTCTGGCTGACTGAGAGCAAGAGGATGCCAGCGGGTACTTACTACTTGGCGGAATCTGTCAACTGGTACTCCCGCCGGCGATCGTACACCTCCTGCACCCCGGCATCCGCCCACAGACTGCGGATGGCTTCGACGAAGGGCGCCGTGAAGCTGCTGACCGACTCAAAGTCCACCGAGCGCACGAGGCGCGCGTTCTCCTGCAATTATTCCCCTTTTTACTCCACAGTTACAGCAAACTGTGATGCAATTAACGGCGTACAATGTTGGCGGGGTCGCGGAATTTAATGTGCAGCGTCTCCATGGCGCGGATCATGGACTGCATGGCCATGAAGATGTTCTGGTACACCAGCTTGATGAAGTGCCGCCGGTCGTCCTCCGTGTAGCCCGTCCCGTGGATGATGCGCATCTGCTTGATGAACGTCGATTTGCCCGACTCCCCCGTCCCTGCAGCACCGTAAGACATTTAACTATTTTCATTTCACAACATCCATTTAATTTCATTTTATTATCGAAACACCCGCGAATTATACGAAAACCTTTTCTCAAAAAATAAAAATTTAACGGTAAGATACGGTATACCTATTACCTAGTATAAAAGATAAAAGAACTGGTATGCAATCGGGCAGCAAGTTAAATATGTACATAAATGAAAATCAATAATGTATTACAAAGTAATATAATTGTCCGTTAAACGAAGGGTGTTGTCATAAACTGATTATTTCTATACGTCTGTAATTTATAATTGCAATAACTACATATATTATTTTGTATGGAGACGAGCATCGCTCACAGAGATACATTCAAATGTAATTTATTATTTTAATTTACTTCAATTATTTCAATCCAGCTTATTTATAAAGTCACATATACATCGCGATATAATCATGTTACTAAAACAACAAAAATCAATCCAAAATTTACGGTATAAGTAACGAGAAGTTTCGTAATAAAATAATGACTGCCGATGCAGGAATATGATTTTCATTAATTTCTTCCAGTAATTTTTCACAGCGTCCAGCGCGCTGTACTTTATATTGCTCAGCCGACCGGAAATTATAGGAGCGACGGTATGTACGCGCAATACGAAATTTCCTTCTGGGAAAAAATCTTTAGTAAAAACTGGCGGCACTGCAATTTGATCAGCGTGCCATACTCACAGACTCACAGAGAACGGCAAGCTGCGGAAGCGCTGCCGGTGATCATGCATGATCCGATAATAACCGGACTTCCGGTATGCATGTGTATAGAAAAAAGTCAACTTAGTATCAAAAAAAGAACAGAACTTAATTACTTGCACACCTGACCATGGGCAGGACTGCGTGTACAGTTTCAAAAATTAGCGGCATTTGTTATCAGCGACAACCGACGTTTTGACGTTTCTGGTTTCTTTACCGTAGAACAAAAAATTTTCTGTAATGATAACTGTTTTAAGTAATTTTTTAGTCATCTTTAGTAATCTTCTGTAATTATTTTTTTTTATTACAGTTGCTACTGTTACTGGGATAAAGCGCATTTTTGAATAATTATGAACTGCCAACATGCCACTTCACTACAGTTTTCTCCAGAAAACCTACCGTAAGCCATGTAACGACACTATCGTACCGTACTAGCTGGAGTAAAACTGTAAAAACGGGATCGATTTTTGATTTGATAATTTTAATTTGCTGATATTGTTTTTATGACGCTGTGCACGTTACTCCAGGTCAATAAAATATATAAACATATAAAAAACACTGTAACAACTAAATAAAGTTCCCAGTATGTAAAGCACTTATCCGGTAAAATGATGTAAAAGAATTATTAAGACCGGCAAATCCATTTCATTTTAATGCGATGCCAACCTGAGATTTACTGCTAAAGCTTCATGCGCTTGTCCACGCATTTGAACAATTCCAATTTGAACCGAGTAATGTCACTATGTACCCATATCGATACAAAGAACGCTCCCCGTATTTTCCTTCCATATTTATTTTTTGTGAAAACCTCCTTAACACGGGACACTATACCGCACTGCAGGAAGGCAGATAGCGAAATTCCCTCGTTAACACACTTGAAAAGCCGGGAACAAAAGGGGACGCAGCGTCCCGTGTGTTTGGCGAGACACTGGCGCGATTGGCCGTGGTTATTTTTTGCTCGTATTGAAGCGTGATTATCCCGCACATATTCCCACATCAGGTGGGAGAGGGAGCGGGATGAGCGGCAATCAGTGAGTGGCAGTGAGCGGCACTTGCAGCCGGCGCCGCTGCTGACGATCAGCGCGGGCTATTCGCGGCACGTGTAACGAGAGGGAGAGGAGGGAGCGCATTATTAATTGCTCTCCGCGGTAAACAAGATAATCGTCATCCCCGCGGGACCGACCACCGGGATGACTCCACAGGGACCACCTCACCTAGCTTCCTCCCTTCCCCGTTCCCGCCGCCGGCCGCGGTCCATCAGCGGGATAATTATGCTGATGCAGCCACGGTCACAACGCGTGTCTCTAATTATCCGTCATTTTCTCATTTTTCTTCTACCTCATCCGCTCTTAATTTAGCAGGATTATTACGTCGTATTACCGGCAATTTTTCCCATTCGGCATCGGATGATAACTAGCCAGTATTGGATTTTGACATTTTGTTCGACAATTATTTTTATCATATTTCGTTTCAAATGCAGATTTATATATTTATATTTATATCAAATTTAAAAATTCCACAATTTCCGTTTATTTGAAATATTTGAATTTATTTATAAATGCTAAAATTTCTGTTTATATTAATTTACGAAATTGTATTTCATTGAAAAGTGGTTCAGTGTGTAAATTATGATTAATTATACCCAGCAAATCTCTACTCGTACATCAACAGAAGTGTACGTAATTATTCGGTAGATTAATAATCTACTAATCTACCAATGCATAATTCAGAAATCATTTAATACGATTATTTCAAACGGTTAACAAAACATTGCAGTCTCACGTCCACAATCACACCTTTTTATTATTCAGTATTGTCATTAAATTAAACTTCAAATTTTTCGAAAATATTGCTATCTCACCACTGCCTACAGGCAATAATGAATGAGCTTTTTTTTACGATTTCAAAGTCTTACAATTAAAGTAGTAAACTAGTAACCACCTAAATGAACCGATTTATTAGTAATTACGAGTACTACTATGTACAGATATCAACCTCTCACACCCGCATTCCGACACAATGATTCACCAAAACGATGATGTGGAGATATCACAAAATGTATGCCCAAAAATAAATGAAAGCAATATTATTATACTACAATTTTATTCATTAACAACTGCCAGAACATTTTGATATTTTGATCAGTCGCAAACCTCGTACAAATGCTAAATAAAAAGGAAAAAATAGACATTTAAACATTAAAAAAAGAATAAAAAATCAGCAATATCGTAGCGTTGACGTTTTCATTTTTCCTTTATTTATACTAAACATTTCATCCTAGAAACTTGTATGTATTCCTTTATTTACAGTAGATATTCCTTCCTTTATTTGTACTAAATTTTCCTAGTTTTATTTTTACTAAATATTTTCCTTGATTTATTTTTCCTTTTTTTCGTGTACTTATACGTTTGTCGTAGTATTAATATCACTATGACGTAGCAAGAAGTAGGCATGCGATGTTCGTACTTATTTCAGGAAAATAAAATGCCTGTCAGAGAGCGATCGCTCTCATTACAACAACGATGACCACCAAAAGCCGGTTTCGATCGCGCAGACAAATAGTGGAAAAACACACATACATGTTCACCATAAAACTGCCACGAATCACTGCGCTGCGCATGCACCGAGCAGGAGCACGGCAAACCTCTAACCGGCTGTAAAACGGTGTTTTTAGCATTTACGCTATTTTACAGCGGATTACTCGCCAGTAATTTCAGCCATTTCACCCATTCCGCGCACATTGTACCGCGCGTTCTTTTCTGCATAAAATCAGCTTTTATTCACTTTATTCACTCGTCATAAACTGTTCCTTGCAAAACGATTCACTCAGTTGTGCGACTGCGCACAAATTACCATTCAATGCGAATTTTACGAAAAATCCTCCGCGTGGAAGAACTGCACCGCCGTCAATCAATTACGCCATTCAGAAATTTCAGGTTGAACTTTCTAACGGGCGCTAACAAGACCAATTTTATCCTGACTTTCCCTAATTTCCAATGCGGCATTTTTCTAGGATATTTCCGAGCAATTTCACTTCGGTCCACGGAGAGAAAAATCAATTTAATCATTCAAATACCGCTCACATCCCCTTTCAAGTAAATCCAATAAAAAAGCTCCCGAATAAAATAAAATTCTTGAAAATTTATCGTAATATCAATGCCCTCGGTTTCTAAGTGCGCAGTAAATAAAAATTAAACAAAATTTGAAACAAGACTGAAGATCCCAATAAAAAATTGCTCATTAATAAAACTCCCAAGAAAATACACATCTAAATAAAAATAAAGCATAAAAAAATTTTCTATAATCAATTTGCCCAGAAAATAAAGATCTAAAAAATTTTCAAATACAATTTTCAAAAAAAATCACGATCTTACTAAAAATGCTCCGAAAAAATTGTCCATAAAAATGAAAACAATCCATTAAAAATTTTCGACGTAATACTTATATAACAAAACAAATGTTAAAAAATTCTCCTGACTGCCTGTTAGCTGTTCATAATCGCTGATTACGGAAAAGGATAAAAACCGAAGAATGAACATATAAATCAAGATTTTTCCGGAATAATTGCAGACTCACCCAAGAGCAACAATTTGAGCTCGCGGCGTGCATCGCGTTTATCCTTCTTCAGCTGGCGCTCGATCTCGGCGTTAATGCGCTTCTGCTCCAGCTCCTCCTCGCTCAGACAACAGGCCAACATCTTGTCCACCCGAAGCTCCAAACGAAAATTCAAACGGCCATCCACAAAAATCAGGAAAATTCCCAAACAAAAATTCAGAACTATTCGTCACCACCGTTTCCCCTCTCAACGGACCATCCTACAAACACCACCACGTCAAACCACAACCGCAAAAAAACACCGTATCAAAATACACAGGAAGAAGCGGGACAATTTCGGGATAACGTAAGCAGTCGGGAATTCAGATAACCTAGGTGCTCAAGAAAATTTCAAACGTCGAATACGACGCGATGAAGATACTGCGGTGGTGTTAAATAATGGAGAGGCTGGTGAACACACACATACACCGACACACGACAGGGAAAAGACGGCGCGAGAGGAGCGGGTGAAGTACACTTGAGCTAATTGATGCGTAACTGATTCAATCAACAATTACCGCGCGAGTACCATACCTCGTAGTCGTAGACAACACGTGTGGTGCGTACTGGCACAGCACACACTGCAAATTCGCCAATCAGCGTCACCGTGCTTTTGTCCGCGGGAGAGTCTCACCGCGCTCCAGCGTCAGCACGGGATAAAATAACACCGCGGCGTCAGGGAGAAAATCATTCCAGTGAAATTTAACGAAAGCGTTATCTTATCAACAACAACAAGTTAACAACATACGCGTTTCTTGTGAAGGCTGCGAAGCAGAAATAAATCTGCGCACAGGTGATTTACGCCGTACACGCTGCATTTACACCTCCATACGACGGATAACGCGGCGCAGCGGGTAGATACTCCGCTGAGTGTATGTGCTGGCGGGCAGCGGTACAGGGAACGTGGTGGCTAGCCCGTGCCTGCTTGTCAAACTTGTCGTAACATGAATGCACGGCTAGCCTCGCTACACCACACCGCTTCCGGTGTAATTTCTGGTTTTTTTTCGCATCAGTGTTTTTCTCGATTACCGTATGAAAGGAATTAATCTTCGGGGTATGGAACGTTGTGACGTGGTCGTCATTTATTACGCATTATGTTTGTGATGTCGTAGCAGCGATCAACTGGATTAACATGAGCCGGAATGTTTTGCACTGGATTATTAATGCCGAGCGAAATTCCTTCACCGGAAGTTGCATATTCTAACGCTGACCAGCAACAAGTTGTCGACCACTTTTTTTGGAAATAATTTATTTTTTGATTGCCAGTTATATTTTATTTCTTATCTTTGTTATTGTGGAAATATAAATAATTATAGTCACTTCTTTTTCAGCTGCCAGTTTTGTGTTTGTGTTGTGAACGTATCAACAAACTCCCATTATTCATTCGCCAATTAATTTTTATTATTTGTATTGTGGAAATATCCTTAACCATATTTTCTATCTTTCTTTTATTTTTTCGTTTCTTATATATTGTGGAAATATCATTCGACCCATCATGATCATTCCATCAAAAACGCACAAAAACAGCGAGGGAGTGAAATAGTCGTAATTCCTTCAAAACAACGGAAAGAAGTGGTAAACTGGAATTAATTCGATGTTTTATTTGGGCAGGACGGCGATGGCTTCGATCTCGACGCGGGCGTTCTTAGGCAACGCGGCCACCTGGTAGGCGGCGCGGGCCGGCGGATCGCGCGGGAAGAAGCGCGCGTAGACTGCGTTGACGGCCTGGAAGTCCTGGATGTCGGCCAGCAGCACCGTCGTCTTCACCACGTGCTGGTAGTCCGCCTGGCCGGCGCGCAGGATGGCGCCCAGATTGGTCAGCGCCTGCTCGGCCTCCTTCTCCACGCCGCTGCAATGACACGCACCACGACACTCAGTAACAGCCGGTACGAGCACTGAAGTACTGTACGCAGGAAGGCAGCGACCAATGTTATTTTACATCAAACATTATATTTATTAGTATTATTTTCCATCTAATAATAATAATACAGTACATTAAACCATCAGCTAATGATACAGAGCAAGAGCGGATACATAATTAAAGCAAAATGTACAATAATATTAATGTGGCACGTCCAGCATAACACCCATTAATAATAGAATAAATACAGAAATGATATCGATATAAAATACATATGAAACGGAAAAAAATTGCGGAAAATTCAAAATACTCATACTGGTTGCACTATCATTAAATTAATTAATCACCACCACAGGTCTGATAAACTCGTTCCTAAAGAAATGAAATAGACCTATCCGCCATGTCGGCTGTTTTTAGTTTTAACATTTTTAACCGATCTAAATTATTTAGGATTTTCGATGAATTGAATTATTTATCAAATCGCAATATCTGACTAACCAAAATATGTTTGCTGGAAATATTTACTCAATATAATATTTAGCAAATAATTTGCGGTGTGTACGGCTGATTTCTCTTACCCGCTAACCAGGTTGCCCGACGCGGGATCCATGCCCAGTTGGCCGGAAATGTACATCATCCCGCCGGCTTGCACGGCATGACTGCAAACAACATTCAAGAACCATCACATTTTGAAGTATTTTCCATGTTTCGGTCAGCGACCACAAGGCTCGCACAATTCTTAATGCTTATCCACCTAGCGTTCCAGATACGTTCTTCTTCGGTGCAGTAGATGGTGCGGGGAGTTTATTTCACGGGGGGTGCGCCCCTGCGTAGCACAGATGCGCCATCGCATGGCCATTCTTCGGGAAAGAAACTCCCGCACACACAATCTGCATCGACTTCATGTACATGTATTGTACCTAGTTTGCCTATCATGATCACATTCGTCCTCACCTGTACGGACCGATGGCGGCCGGCGCGCTCGGCGATGTAACGCAGACTTTAGGGGAATCCTGGGCCATTTTACTGCGGTAGTTGAAGGTAAGGTACGGTGTGGTGGAGAGGGAATGCGAGCAAGGGAAACAGCTGTTGCTGGGTTGACAAACAGCTGATCGGCGCAGCACACGGGCAATGGACTGGTACAAACGCATGCGCTCGGCTAGGCGAATAATCCTACTGAAATTTATCAGGTAATTGCGGCAGGTTCTGGTTTCTGAGTGTGGAATGATAACGCCTATCACCAACCGAATCAATTTTGATTTACGATCAATCTGATTATCTTCAAAGATGAAATCATCGACGACGACGAGATAAACTGAAATTCACATCAAAAGATGCAGGATAAAAATACATTTTTTTGGCCGTAGAAAATGTTGTGTTTAGTGTCAGAGCGTAACGTGGCGAAGCAGTCAGGGAATCTGTCAGCCTCGCATTTCCCTTTTTCGCTGTTATCTTCAAATTTTTTTTCGTCTAAAATTCTGAATGCATAAATGTCTTGTTAAACTGCAATGGTTGTGTAATTTTTTATGCTATAATCTTTCTCTGTTTTCCTCTTGAATGGATGGATAAAGTGAACAAAATGCTCCTTCGTGGCAGAGATTTGAGAATCTCGAGCAACCCTTTCCGGGTCGGCTCAGCTCGCCACTTTCTCTCCACCATCTCAGATCGCTGCCCGCACTGTGGTTGGACGAGCGACCGATCACACTGAATTTTTCGTTTTCGCTGTTCAGTTTTCTTCTTTCTGTTTTGTCACTTTTGTGTGTTTTTCGTCTCGAAACTTGTGTTTTTCTGTACGTATTCGCTCTTGATTATGGCGCAGCACACGTATCCTCCCGACGAGCAGTTCCGCTTCAGCCTGCTCAAGTCCATGTACGACCCGGCCATCCAGATGTACCGCGACGATCAGATCGTCATCGTCCGCGAGCGCAAACCCAAAGCCAGCATCCACTACCTCATGCTGCCCCACGAAGCCATCGACACGGCGCGCGATCTGCGCCCCCACCACATCCCGCTGCTGCGCCACATGCTGCAGAAGGGCAACGAGTTCGCCGATGAGTTTGTGCGACCGCACACCCATTATCCGGTGATTCTGGGATTCCACACCATCGCCACGTTCATTCGCCTGCACATGCACATCATCTCCACGGATTTCAACGGACCAGGTACGGTGGGATTTTCCCAGCTTATTTTCCACAAATTTTGTTTGCTAATTGCGGTTTTATTAGTAAAAAATCTTCGGAAAACATTGCGAAGAATAAAGGAATTATCTGTCTTGCGCAAAGAAGTAATAATAAATTTATATGATTTTTTTAAAATAATAATTAAATAATAGTTAAGAATAATAATTATGTAAAAGTAAAACATTCAAAAAATGCGATCATTAAAGGAATCAGCCGTCTGGCCCGTCTTGGACGTTAGTTGACTGTATTAATAAGAGTATCATTTTCTTATTTATCAGTAATAAATTTCAGAAAATCTGTAACATTTTGGAAAATATAGACTTACTCATTCTACGCTAAAGCTGTGTATAGCATGATTTGCATCGAATCGAGTCGACAATGAATGCATGTCGTAAGAATATTGCTTTATTTGACTGGACAACTACTTTTGAACGTATTCCCTGATTTGTTTCATTTTTTATCTTTGTTATTTCCTCTATTCCCTGAATTATGTATTTGTGTTTGTATTGCTTACTCTCTGAATTACATATTTTTTTTTTTGATTTTTTTGAATTCCTGGATTTATTTTTTATCTTATGACTATTTTAATCTTCTACCGAGGAATTATTTTCTAATTTAATGTTTACTTATTTCCCCGCAGGCGGTGAAACGTCCGGTGATTATCGGGAATTCGTCCACCGCGAGCTGTGGGTGGAGCCGGACCGGGCGATCTACCTGCTAGAACGGGAAGGCCGCATCCCGGTGAACGAGGAGCTGTGCCGCTCCATCAAACTGAGCCCCACGGAGCCCATGCCCTGCTACTTCTGTAAGGAACGCTTCATCTACATCCCTAAACTGCAGAAGCATCTCATGACGCACGAGGAGGAACTGCACCGGAAAGACCAAGCGTTCAAGACAGATTGCCGCTACTGTCGACCGGTGCCCATGTTCTTCAAGCGGAATAAGAGACTTTTCTTGTCGGCTGCGGTGGCGGGAATGGTCGTCAGTGGCGCCTCGATTGTCAGCAAGATGTTTTGAAATTTATTTGCATTTATATGACGAAATTTTAATTGTACAGTGTACTGAAGACTGTGATAATGTGCGTTGCTTCTGGCTGCTGAAAAGTAGAAATGAAAAACTGGCAGAATCTCTTGTAAACGGTGCGATTAACGTATTGCTGATGCTGTGTACAGAATGATAACTTGTGTATTGTGGAGCAAAAAATATGTCACGATGTGGCCTGTGGTGTGTCGCACAAGGAACTTCCGATTGCATTTTATTAAAAATAGAATTATTTAATACAGTAAGGGAATTAATCAACTTTGGCGCAATAATTGCCTAATTTCCTCGTACAATTAGTATTTATTACAAATTTGTGTATCAAATTCTTGTAATACGAGATCATACTGACTCATATAGTCTTGGCGTTATTCAAATACGTAGTTTAATGATAAATTTACCAAATTCGTCATTCTTTCAGTAAAGTTGCCTTTCAATATTTCAATATAGTTCTGGGTTTTTTTAAATAGTTTAGTTGCTTTGTAATAATTACAAAATAGCTAGAGTCCGAATTAATCCGTCATTAAAATCCAGCTTCCGGTTGCATATAAAAAGAAATAAAATTTTTATTTCCTTAATTAGGCAATGCATTTTAATTAGAAGTTCATAATAATTTCCTAAGGAAATTATTCATTTAAATCATCAATTTCTTCCGGGAGGATTTGTATTTTTTATTCCCGTTTTTTTCAAACGACTTAATTAAAATCAATCACGGAAGGCCGTGTATACAGTACAACACAGCATACGACGCATCTTAATGGAGAAACATTTCACAACACAACCGAGTCAAAATGAATTCGGCATCCGGCTACACGTAGGTAGAATTATTTCTAGCATGAATCAAAAAGCACACCGTCTGGCTGAAGAGGGAACACGGGCTAACCGCTGATATCAGCGGGATCCGTCGCGGTCCAGTGCGGCCTGCTTGCGGGCGTCCTGCTCGGCCTTCTTGGCGGCCTCCTTGTGGCGCTCGATGGCGTCCTTGTGGGCGCGGATCTGCTCCTCGTGGAACTTGATCTCCGTGTTCAGGTGGCCCTTGTAGTCGTCCAGCTGCTGCTTTTGCTACATACATACAGTACATCAACAATAATTCCTTTTTTTACATGTATAAATGGCTTTATCGGCGAAAAATAACTAGCAAAACTACAAAAAATTATAGCACGGATTATTTGCAAAATGCTTAATTTATAAGTAATTCTTTATCTATAATAATAATGATTTATATACGATAATTAGTTTATACTGTAAAAAATCATAAATAATAACACGTAAACCATAAAAATAGACCTGTAAATAATTTCAGTCAAAAAATATGTCTTCAATAAATATTCGATTAATAATGACATTATTTTCTAAGTCAGAAAGAACGGAGGGAAACCGAGATAAGCTGCTATTACTGCAATAAAAAAATTCCGCGTAATAATCGCTGGTTGAGAGGTAAAACCGACACTTCGACAGCCAACAGCGCATTAGAAAAACGGGTATCCATACCAGTTTGCGGAAGAACTCCTCCTCGCGCGCCGCTTCAATCTTGCCCATGGCGCCGCCCGCCTCGCGGATACTGCCGCCGCCACCACCACCCTGCAGTCCGGAATATAATGAAATAAATGCGCATGAAGAATTCAAGTAAAACTCCACCTATTTTAATAAACAATAATAATACCGAAAAAATAAGATCGCCATTATTAATAAAAAATTATTTTTTAAAAATAATTAGTATTGATTTACCAAGTAATTTTTTTAAAATTTTCCAATCTGCAAGCAGTCAGCTGCATCATCGCTGAGCAATAACAGAAGAAAAACAGTGAGAAAAAAAATTAGTTTGAATATGTCGAAGCAGCAGAACAGTGAAAAACCATCAGGAAAGGTAAATTTGTGATTATCCTTAGGTCCTTGGACGTACCTTGCCCGCTCCGCTGCCCCATTCACCCGACGCCATCCCGCGCGCCAACTGCAGTCTGCAAATTAAGTAAATTCAACGTCTATAAAAAATGACTGATCCTGGGCACGAGGGCACTTAAATTCTATCAGCTCTTTGCTTTCGTCATGCGCTGAAAACCTGTCACAGCTGATCAACACTAAATCACACCATGGACCAACTACATGTGCCAGATTACTGAGCACAGTGCCTAAGAAAACCCCTGCAGCAGCCAAACCCAATTCTCTTGCGAGAAACACAGGAGATGTTTGTGCCTGTGACTAGAATATCCTACCCGAGTCGGGCCCGAAGAACCGATGACGAATTCATACAGCGCAGTGCCATTACGATGCAATAATGACGATTGATCCTCTCCAATCCGCCAGACAAAATATACGCAGCTCTCCGCTCTTCTGCACCCAACTACTGATCAAAGACAATTTTAAATATAATTTGCACACTTTGTCTCGCAGTTTAAATTTTTCTAATCAGAGCAATTCAACAAGAAAAAACAGAAAATAATCCAAAACAAACATTATTATCCGGTGCAGGAGATCGGTTCACCCATTTTGCACAGCACAGTTGGCCATTCCATCGCCATTTGTGCTGTTGGCACTGGAATGCTAGATACAGTGATTACGTGTACAGTACGAATATCCCCGTGTACAGAGTATGTGCAATTAATTTTTAAGTCTGTATATGCTTGTAATTATTGTCCTGAAAAGCGAAAACTGTTGTATTGTACAATATTGAACATTAAAGTATTCTGTTCATTATCATTGCTGTTTCCGAACTTTACATAATTATTATCATAATATGGAAGTGTTTTTCATGCAAAAAAATCAGAAGTATTTATGATAAATAAATAATAAATAAGTAAATTAAACAGCCTAAACTGTAGAGCGCAAACGTATTATAATAACTAAAAAATGTATATGCCGAAAACATGCACGTCTTTCCAAATTTTACTGCAGTCTGTAGGTAACGATTAACGAACGTCGTCGGATATACCATTGATGCCACTGCACTACGAAAACACTCATTATGATGTGACGTTGAAAATGCACATCTGGCCTTAGTTGCTGACCATACCACCCATTAAACACTGGTAGCAACTACCGCATGAAGTCAATTAATACTTTTACCGTTGAGGAAAATGGCTCGCTACAACTTTACCTTGCCATTAATTTTCTCTAATCTGCGCCAGAGCTTCAGCATCGAAATTCAACGTGGAAACGCGGCATCCATCTTGGGAACGGCACCAGTCTCGGCTAATTTAAATCAAATGTTCTATGTGATTCGGCCATCTGTTTCCACTGTCTGTTGATGCTGTGTGATGTTTCATTTTGAAACGTTGGCTTGATAACTTTGTACTTGTTTGTGAAAAACTTCTACCAATAATACTGTTATCACTGTACAATATACAATACTTTTATGGATACGAATGTACAATACGTACTTGAAAGTAAGAGTAATCTGAAATTAAGCTGGCTCCTCAGTTACGTTGAAGTCGAACTAAGCGCTTGTGCGTATGTCAGCTTAACGCCGGTAATAAAATGTCTAATAATAACAAGTTATAGAAAACTATAAAATTGTAACTACTGCCAAACTACTAAAATATCGTACGACACTTGTATCATGGCAGTTAATTTAGTTCACCATGCATACTTGTATAACGATAAGCTGTACAAGTATGTAGTACTCCGTATGTACACACTTGCACCAAAATTAATATTTTCATAATTATTATGACTAGAAACAAAATACTTACATTCCAAAAATGTAGATAGAAACAAAATACTTACATTTCGACGCTGTATATAGGTACATAAAACCGAGCCCCAACAAAATTATATTCTTTGTTGTATCTTATACCACCAGTTAATTTACGTCAACATATGTATATTACTTATGCAGTAACACAATTAAGCTGTTGACTGAAAAGCATTTCTTCACACGTAAAACTTGGAAGCACATCCATCCAGGCACCATCGTCCACTGGTTACATGCAAGTACCGTTTTAGGCGATAACTAATATAAATTACTCTATTTTAATTGTGCTGTTGGTATAAAAAAATTGAAGTATAAAAGTTGATGGGATACGGCATTCGTGATTTATACATAGTTATTTTTCGTCCCTTTAATTAAGTACCATATAATATACTAATGTATAGAGTAATGTATTCGAACTTTTGTACGACATCATTCGGAGGGTGGTCAACAAGTTTCTTCACGGGAACAGTGCCGGTACAATGCATGGTAGGTTATGAATCGATCCTCTCCAAATCTCAAACGAAAATTAACGCGCAACAACAAGAATTACATACATCGAATCAGGACCTTTCCACCATGTTTTCAAAATTTAAAAGAATTTCGACAAATTTTCGAAAAAATAATAGAATCCTATGATACATGGATGTAAAAACGATCTTTATGCTGGTGCATGGGCGTCGTTATGCAAAATCTGAAAACAGATCGGTTGATTGTAAGACTTTTAGTCTGGTATGCACTTCCAGCTGATCTGTGTGTGCAGACTTTGGAATTTCATTTCACCCTTGTAACGGTTCCCGACCGGATGTTGCGCGCATAAACGGTTTTCGCGCCAAGGTATTATGCAAACTGATTTGGTTACACTCGTACAAAGTAGAATGTCATAAAGCGACACAAAAAAAGTGTTGGAGAGTGCGCGAATGTGAAAGTTTTCGCACATGTGCTCACATCGAAACACTTCCGGTACATAACTTTCCGACCGGATGTTACGCGCGAAAACGTTCTTCACGCCTACGTATACAAATCGTTTGGCTACAAAATATCATAAAGCAATACAAAAACGTATTTGGGAGTGCCCGAAAGGGAAAGTTCCCGTGGATGTGCACGAATTTGGTGCTATGTACCGGGCATTGGCAATTAAAATCCCTTAAAGAAACTATTCACAAGGTAAAACACGGTGGTCAGCTGAAATGGCTGGCGTAACGTTAACAACCATCTTTATTAATTACCACATTAATAATTAGTTTTATTCAATCAGCTGTGAATACGCTAATTTTACGCTAAGTGCTAATTAGCCTTCGCACACCTTTAACACGTACGTAAAAGTTAATTAAAATGGGTTCGACGCGCCTGGCTGACCTGTCACATTAGCGCTGGCTCGTTTTTTTGTCAGAATCTGCATCGTGTAAAATGAGAGAAAATGTTTTCCGGCCGTCGGCTTTGTGGTCGACGTGAAAGTGAACGCAACTGCACCGCGGTGAAAACTGGAGCGCGCGTTGACGACCGGCAAGCTGTGTTCGCTTAATTGGCCGCGGCTCCTACGTGCCATTTTGCGCTCTGTTTGTAACACCGCACAAAACAAGACCTTCGAACAGCACACTCGCTAACTGACCACAGACAAATCCGCATTAGTTACCGGCACTAATTTCACGCTAGCGTTTTGTTTGTTCAAGTAATTTATTCACTGATTAATAATCTGGTGGGAAGTGTGCATTAAAGTCAACGCGTTTACACAGTCAAAAAGCAGATCTACGATCTTTAAGGCAAAAATTAACAAACAGTCGCACTTAAGCACACAATGGAGTCAGTTTTTATTCAACTAACACCGCGCGGAATTCTAATACCGGATTGACACAGAAAACATAATTGCCGTATAAAATGCTGCGAACAATTACGTAACCGGCATTTGGACGTTTTTTTTCAGCGGGTTTACAATTTACAAAATGTTTCACACGATGGATATTATCAGTGTGATAGTATTGGGATTAGCTGCGATCATCCTACCCGGCGAATCCGGCCCAGCCAACCGTCAAATGCCGATCCCCACATCCACGGGAAAACCGCACGTGGTCAACGTGACCGAGTGCCATCCGGCGGTCCTGCCGCCCATCACCAACCCCGGCTTTTGCTCCAATCTCCTGGATCTGGATGCGTTCTGCATGTTTTTGGAGGTCGCCGAGGCGCCCGAGTGCAGTGTGTTTATTGGGAATTACTGCTGCTACCGTACGTATCGATCCTCTCCAATTTTTAAACGAAAACGCGCATTAACAAGAAGATCGTCGTTACACCGAAATCCGCATCACTGGGCTGTAGCACAGTTAAACTCTCTTAAAATACGATTCTTTATTAACACTTTTCTGTAGCGGTCAACCTTTAAGGAACCGAATTAACTCGGATATGTGCTGTAACATAGACTCTTTATAACACTCGCCTCTTTATGAACCGTATATATATATATATATATATATAGTTACATATATACTTTCCGAGGAAACCGAATATAGCTTAACCAGTGTACATAGAGAGGGTTTTGAATAGCCAGCTACGGTTAAATACAGTTGCATTTAAATAACGGGATGCAATATGATAAAATAGGAATCTCAACAGAATATTCCTGTTTTATCAGACTTAACTCTTAATCATACTTTGAAACGATCGCTAAGCGAAGTTAGTAAATTTGTAATTTTAAACGTATTACAGAAGCATGTTGCTACTGCCTTAATGCTGCATTTATAAAAATATCGGTATGCTCCCCCATCAATAATAAACATATGAGTCATAGTAATATCGGTACATTCATTTAGACGTTTACTTAGACGGGAAACGTATGGATCACAATCACCCTTAAATCAGTGTTTTTTTTGTCTTGAAAAAGACAAAATTTGTCCTGAAGTATTTTGTCGCAAGCCGACATAACAGAACAATTTTGTCGGTACAAATTGTGCCCTCCGCCCCCATCGTTGCGGCTGTTTTCTAAATATTTTATTATGCGTACTATTGATTGTATTCTGTAGTACGATACTATTACAGTAACTTTAATGAGCTTGTGCGGATTCTTTTGTATGGGCGCTTTTCTTTATTAATCAGCAGGGCGATTTAGATTTAGTAGTTGTACATGTGGTGTATGTATAAATGTTGGAAGAACAGTTTTGACTGATACAGAAATGGCACCCGCAACGACCATTTAATTATTCCGGCAACGAACATTTAGTTAATTTTGGGTAAAATTATATTCATCCTTTCCTGGAAACAAAATTTTGCTGACTGCGTTCTCCGGACAGCTACAGGTTTCTGTGTGGATGATTTGTACAAACCATCCACTCCAGTTACCCTTGATTAGAATAAAACTCGTGGTTCGATTGGGAAGCAGTTAGAGATTCATAACGGTGCAATTCGCACAATAACTGTGCAACAATTCGCTGCTTTCCAAAGCAAAGAAATAAGCATCAATTCGTAATAAAATGCGGCTGCACTGTTCAAACGATTTCAAAACCTTTGCCTAAAAGACGCAGTGACACAGCCTGATGCTCCCGGTTGTTATCCCAATAAATTAAATAGATCCATATGAGCTGCGGCTGATAATTATTTATTCGGAAATGTAAGACCAGTGAAATCAAAGATTCAGTGGTGCAGTGCGGTATGAAGCTTGCGATCGACTGAAATATCAAGTTTGAGTTTGCATCGCGCTGACAACTTTTGCCGCGCAATGGAACTTTACATATGGCGCATTGAGCCGTTGCGACGCGACTCCGTGTGAAATCCTGATAACTTGTGATAAGAGATTTTTTGATACCAGTAATATTATCACGGACGCGTCCGTGCGCGTCTGCTATGGGAGTTATTAACTGTTTAATGTCTTCTGTTAATTAATCATATGGTTAATGAACGGAAACAGGAAAAATGAAATGAAAAACGTTTTACAGTACTTTCGTGGTGTTCGTTATATACCGTAAGCACGGTACAAAATAATCTGGGTACAAAATAATCTGTGTATTAATACAGTAATCTGTGTATGCACGTACACAGATTATATTGTACCGTGCCGTAAGTATACATATACAGTAATATAAGTAAGCATATAGCGATAACATGGGTACATATGTTGTGTGTAAGTATGTGTATCGAGCTAAATTTAGCTAGATTAGTTGCTTTACCGCCGGTATACCAGGTATTTTGGCTTTTGACGTAATTTATTGCCATATATCACAAGATCATAAGAGCCGTTATTTTAAAATTTAGCAGTAAGTGCTATGGAAAAAAGCGGACCGTTTCGGTTTTGTGCTTACCGATTAGGAATCGGTTTAATTTACAGTCACAAGGCGATTATGTTTTTAATGTATTTAAGTAATCACCGTTATCGGTTAGTATTTCATGGCGCATGTGAAAAATTACATATGCGGATATGCCGACTTTCATTCACAGTGTCTAATTATTTTTAGCTGCTCCCAAAATTCAGAAGTCCATAGGTCATACTATCTCTGTTATTGTGCGTATCAGTCTGCGTAGATCTCTCTCCAGATTTGTGAAGTGATATTTATAAAGTGATATTATATGAAGTATTTTAGATGTTTATACGAAGTGCTGTTCTACACCTCATTATATAAGTACGTATATGCAGATGCATAATGATGCATACTGCGCCTTATACATAATTACTGATCAGAGGCAGATTTTATAACCAACTATCAAGAACAAAATATGAAGAAAAAACCTAATATTTTAAGGTACTTGTACACCAAGATTCATAGAGGTTTTTCCGTGTATACTACTCGTATTTTATGGAGGTTTATCAATATTATAATAGCGTTTTTTTAATAATGCGGTCGAAAGTCCCGTTACGCATTATAATTATTATACCACGTAGGTGCGCGACAAAAAACGCAAAATGGGTGACTGGAAAGTGCGGCTGATCACCCTATTTTCCCAGTTTTTCACAATGACGATGCATGAGAGCGTATCCCTTTTTAAAAATTAAAAAAAGGAAAAAATTTTAATGTAAAACATAACAAAAAATCAAGTATATAAAAATACACAAAGTGTATGCAACTGAGCTTTTGTCGATAAAATACAGGATTACTAGTAGGTATGTGTATAAGATAGCTGCCGATAGGTGCTTGGCATCTGAAGTCAGTCTTTGTATTTTCGTACAAAATCTGCCAAGCCACGACAATACTCGTGCGAAACGAGATAAAATTATAACTGCTAAGGCGTTATCAGTCAGCGCTGAAAGCGATTTGCATGAACCGACATGCAGACCTGTGTACCATATGCGTTTTTTTGTGAATCACTCATCCGAAACATATAAAACTGTCTTTCCATATAGATGTTATTAATAGGGCTCCTGGGCACAATTTCCCTTCATAAAATACACCCAGGTATAAAATAAAAACTGATGGAACCGTGTCTGTATTTTATAAAGCGATTTTACTGTATAATTAAGGGTAGTGACCAATTTGGTGCATGGTTTCAACTGTGGGTACGAGTACATCTCCGGGAAGTTTCACTTTGCTTCGCTTTGAAAACCTCCAACAGGTTTCTGCATTGTTTTAGAACATTATTCAAAAATATTCTACAGGGCGACGGTGTTAAAATTGATAGTATTGTGTTTCCACAGAATCTCTGCCTCAAGGTAACAATCTGACCAGCTCGGCCAGCAAAGAGTTTGCACGCTCCATACGGGTACAACGACTACGGCAACTGCAACAGCGTTCGGCGCCCATCCAAGCCGCATCGCCACTGCATCGATAACGGCGAAGAACGTCGCACACACGTAACGGGACCGTGGGTGGCTGACCGGGCACAGGCGACAGTATCAACCCTTTCACCTCATATCAGTCTGCATAACGTTCCCGCCAACGACACCAGCGAAGTACTGTAATGGTGGTTACAGTATTACAGCAGCAGTATTCCACCTGCAAATTTGCAATCAAGGCTCAAAGACTGCCATTGACGAGTGGATATTACACTCGACTGTTCCTGTACTACAGACTAGACCCTATGTGGTGTGGTTGTGGATAAATGGTGAGAGTTAATCTGTTAATTTACCTTACGACTTTAGTGCGTGGACTGTGATGTCGCGTTATCCATCCAAGTTGGTCAACCAAGGTGGATCCTTCTCTGTTGTGGAGAGTCATCGCATAATCGAGTCACTGCGTTTTATTAATATACTTATATATAATCGCACTACAGCAGCCAGAGTTTTTTATAGTATGAATACCTTTAACGGTGATCGATACGTACTGAACAAAGTAATGCATGAGTATCAGTGAACAAAAATTCTTAAACTTCATTTCCGTTCGGCTAACTGAAAGGCAAAGTACACATCTTCCTTCGCTACCATGTCGCAAAATGTACCGAGAACAGAAACAAAGAAGCAGAATTTCCTCGCTGAATCTCGGTTCCAATTTTTTGGCGTAAATACTCTTCTGAGCGAGGGTTGCCTGTGCTGTCAGTAATCTTATTGTTAGCCAGACTTATATTGAATGAATGAACACAATGTCACAATGATCCACGATGTCAGATTAAATCAACACATTTTCCGATTCCGTCGCATCTTAGTGAAATGCACTGAGCAATATCTGTACATACGGAAACCACATTCAAATTCTAACACCTGGCGAAGAAATTAGGCCGTTTTAACATCTGGTGAGCAAACCATGAAAACCTAAACTTAAAGTGAGCAAAATCTGAGAAACACCGAATTATTACCGAAACATATCCTTTTCTTAATTTTTCGACTCGAAAAAGCAACGCAGAAATCATGAACAATGACGTTGATAAAGATGCAATCGGATGGTCAGTGCGATTCTGCGCAACGCAACTATTAAATGTAATTTTCCCCATTCCTCGAGTGCCGACTGTCTCCGTCACTTCAGCATCCTCTCATTCGCAGAACGAAATTGATGGTCACCCCGGTGCGGACGCCGCAGTCCACCAGAGCAACGTTGTCGTTCAGCTCGCGGCCGGCAAATACCAGTCGCTGCTGATCCATGGAAATTTGTTTGACCTCCTGAATCCGGCATTTCAGCTGGTTCACCCAATAGGCCAAATTCACCTGCACACTATGATGGTTTTCCCCGTCAAGCTCATCACAAACACGCTGCTGTCGCGCACCAAGCGCGTCGCTGGATTACGCTCTTCCATAATGCCGGCTTCCCTGCAGTTAGATTACAATCATGCCATCCAGAACTGTTACATTTGTTCATTACTTCAAAAATTATTCCAGTACCATATTAATGAATAATCACATTATCACAAACTACTACAGTAATTTATTACGTGATCCTTGCGTTTGGAACGAGCGGTTTGAGAAGAAAACAAATAACGTTAAAGGAAGTTAATTTACATTAAACTTATGGCATGCAAGGAAGAATTACAATTATAAAACCATTGCTCAAGTTCAAAGGAGAAGATTAGCAAATAAACGAAATGTTCGAGAACGTAACAGCAAATAATGCAAATTATAATTCGTAATTTCTCTTATAAAAACCCAGAACAAAGTTCACAAAAGTAAGAACTTTTATAAATTTCTTTCAAGTTCAAAATCATTTTAAAAACAGCCCAATTCAGTTAGAATTTCCACCTCACCGGCAATCCACTCCATGAGTTCATCCAGCGTCCAGCACAGCGTCGGTGAATGCAGGATGCGCAGCAGACCGACCAGTCCGCACACGGTCATCCGGCTACCCGCCGGCTGCGATTCGGCATGGACTCGGATCATCCGCACAGCCTCCGGGAAAGGGATCTGCGCCAGATGGGCCACCGGATGACACAAGCGCTCCACAAACGCCACTTGCGTCCACAGCTGCAGTTGCGGAATCTCCCAACTCAGCGACAACTTCATGAGCTCGTACACGAGCATGGGAGCCGCTCGGCGGGGATCGATGGGCAGCGATTCCCGTTGCGTCATGGCCGCGCCTACCACCGCCACCACGGCGGCCTTGCTGTAGTCCACCTGGAAGACGCTGACGCGTCCCAGCTCTCCCGCTGCGAAGACGGAACGCGTTTTCGACGATATATGAACCTAGAGCGGAAATCCAACTTCAAAACTGTGAATTCCAAATCAACATTGCAGCATGAGTAAGTCAAAGTAACCGGATCGTCGAGAGTTCGAAATACTTTGCGGCCAAACAATTTTATACAATGGCCATGACAAACGATGACCCAAATATTTTTAAAAAGATAGCAAAAAAAGTAAATCAAAAAAGAAATTTTGAAATGAAATTAGAAAAAGTCAGAAAATCAACAACTTAAAAAATCACCCAGATCTGGTTTATTTCAGCCATTGTAACGCCCGAAACCAAAACGCTCATTCATTAATACAAAAATAGTTATTCTTAAAAATAGTTATTCTTTCTTAAATTTGAAAGCGCATCAAAAACAACAAAAAAGTTGATTTTAACGGTTAACTCTACACGAACCAGGACTTGGCGATCCACTTCGATCCCACCCTGTCGCGTCTGAAACTCCACATTATCCGTTCCTTTCAACTGATCCCCGTTCGGGAGCGCCGGACAGTCGGGTATGATCCGGCGGAAGGCGGTGAGTAGGTCCAGCCGGTGATGTTCTGCAGGGCGCTGTTAATGCAGTCCATATTTTTGGTACCGGTCGGTGGCGGGTCCATGTAGACGGTGGGGCTGCCGTGGTGGTCGGGATTAATGAAAGCCAGCTGCACCGCGTGCAGAAAGCAGTTGTCCGGCAGCCGCTCCACTTGTATCCTGGCCCGCCACGGAACCTCGAAACCGCGAGAAAAGAACGCGTGCCTCGACTTGCTCTTTCCCTCGACTGCAAAGCATGGGTGAAATTACACGAACCCTTACGCAAAAAAAACTGCGCTATAAATCTGCATTTTTGTCCGACTAAAAATAGTATCGGAGCGATACTATTTTTAGTCGGACAAAAGTGCAGATTTTTAGCGCGGCGTTCGATGATTATGCCAGCCATAAGGAGTTAGTAGCGTAATGCAAGCGCAAAACCGTTCTTCGCAGTACGGTTGAATTTTGAACAGGACACATCAGAAGTAAGAACTTACAGAACACTTGCAGTCCAACGCCGTTCTCCAGCCACCTAGGCAGGGGAGAAATCTCGTGGCCATTGTCGGCCACACGAACGCGCATCAGTTTCCACTGTCCGTAATCATTCCACGCCTGGAATGCAGATCCTGTAGGTCCATCCGGAAAGTATACAAAGCGCGACACGTCACGAAACCGTCCTCCGTCGCGCCCGTTTCCAGTGTGGCCATTTGGTAGTGGTTCAGCAGGTTCAAGACACCGGTTTCGAGTTGCTCCTGTTCCATCAGACGCTGCGAATGAGAGGGGGCGCTGGATGTTGGTATGGTCGGGGCTGCGTTCAATCGCCAGCAACCAGGGCAGTATCCCCGGGCCGTATCCCACTCTGACGAATGCTGGATCGTGAAGCCATTCGCTCCAGCATCGGATGGCGCCTTCGCCCCGTTTACATTGCCGTTGCCTTCTTCCATTTCTGCAGCACGCACCCACTTGACAAGCAACCGAAGAAAGAACCGGGCATACTCACAGTTTATACTAAAACAGCTGCTGCAGGGATATAAACTGTATGTACATTTGACAAACACTCGCGATGGTTCTCCACTCACGCGACACGCTCTCGTGGTCTGTCGATACTCAGCAATGGCTTGTCCGAAACAATATGCTAACCAGGGAGGAACATAGGGAGGGTCCAGATTCAGAAAAACTGCTTCTTTTGTATAGGTAGTACAACTGTACAAGCAATCATCCAGCTGCAGGATGATTACTGTAATTTTCTCTTTCTGTCTGATGTCAAGCACTCTTTCACTTCGCAAGGCAGTTACGTGCGCACTGCGCAGCATGCATAAACCCGTACGCCTCAAAATAATGGCTGACGCCGTAAAATCGAATCGTGTGTGGTAGTTACTCGTATTAAACCTAGGGTAGAGTTCGTAGTCACACATTGTACTTCGTAGTCTGCCACTTTTGTAACTCCTTTTTATTGCTGGTTTTCAATATTATTTATTTTTCAGCATAAAGCGTACTGAAATTTTATCATTATTTCGTTATTGGCTCCAGTTAGCTGTGGGTGTTCCACGTTGCTGGCAGTTTTACGGAATACGTACGTCTTTGCTGTCATAAATTACACCTTTTTTAACTTTACTCTACAGTGTCAAGCAAGCAATAGAATGTTTTTGTTCGAGACTGATGGACGAAAGATCAACGCCAGAAACGCCGTAGATGTTAAAATTGACGGCCTGCTCCAACATGGCTTTCTTCTTGGGAGGGAGGAAAAGCCAGGGGACGACAGCACTCCGCCGCGTTTGATCGTCGATTTCGGATGCACGTCTCAGCGGTCGGTGTTGGTGGAATCCGGGACGGTGTCGGCGGGCTACATGGATAGATACTGCCATTCGGACGTGGGAACCGTTGTGCAGGTGCTCCTGCGCGAAGGCCCCGATCGCCCATGGAGATGGTACCCCGGGAAACTGCTGCTGCGCCGCTTTAAACGGCTTAAACATGTGGCGCTTGTTGAGGTGATGGTGGGCGGGCAGTGTCGTCGGGAATTGATCCCCAACCGCCAGATCTGGGATCGTGCAGCAACTTTGAGCACAACCCACAAGCCCGTCATGGGCATTCCAAGGTCCGTATTATATTACTGTATACTCTAATCCTTTTCGTTCACGCTGAATAATCTAATTAAATTCTTATGGTACTAGTACGTTTTCTGATAATTTTGAAATCAGGGGACATAAATACGTGACGTGAGGCGTACCAAAATACTAAATAGCCACTTACCTTTTGAGCCTATAACAGCGAAAAAGATACTTTTCCACAAAAAGCGGTATTTTGTCACGGTTACTCGAATAAAATTGATGGCAGTAACTGTAGGAACTGGAAATTACTGTTGTACAGATTCCTGAAAGGCGAATTGCAGTAACCAAAGGCTATCTTTATTTGTAAAAATAACGTTGTGAATAAAAGGCAGCATGCCAAGAACTATGTCTAAGACAAGTCATGTTCAGGAACTATAAAATCATGTTCACTGAGAACAGTTTTTGCAGTAAATCTACCGCAAACAAGGTGAGTACGAATGTGACGGGATGTCCACAAAGGAAAGTGGCAAAGCGCAAACCTGCCAAGGCGATTGATGAGCCGAAGCGAAAAAGGCCGCTGCGTGTCGACCAGTGCCGTTTGGCGTTGCCGTTTGAAGTTCTGAAGGAGATCTTCCACTCACTGGACACCGTAGACCGTCTCCGATGTCGCCGCACCTGTCAACTATGGGAGACCCTGCTGACTTCGGCCGAGCTGTGCCAGGTTATGCGTGTATCACGGCGAGGGGAGAGTTCTTCCCTACCCGTGGTGTGGGACTGCAATTACGCCATGTATGGCTGCATCCTCAAACACATCACCGCCGCCACGCGCATCATCTGTATTCGCGACACCCAGAGGTTTTGCGCTGCCAGCCCGAGCGATGCCGATGAGGTCGTGGATCTTATCAAAGAGGTCTTGGACGACGCTGGCCTCCGCATCGACAGCGTGATTGTGCACCAGCGATCGATTCGGCTGAGCTTATCAACATATGCTCGATGGAAAATGGGCGTGTTTTCCATGGAGATGGCCGCGCAGAAGGCCAGGCTGGGGTCGTGTTGTGGGCGTTTGATCTTCAAAAATTACGGCGTGACCATGGAGAGTGAGTACGGCACCGGCTGCGTTCACTTTCGGATTCCTGCTGCCATCTCCAACGCAGGACTCGTCGATGAGGCGCAGACTGTAGAGCTGTTTGAGCGACATCTGGTTTCGGAAGGGCTGCCGCTGGATGTGGAGCGCATTAGTATTTGCATGTCAGATCTCATCGGCATCAAGGAAAACGCCAAGGAAGTCATTAAGGTAAGTTGTTAAAACATTAGAGAACTGCTTCGCTGATGCGGGGCATGATGGCATCGTTTTGACGAACCAACTCGCGCTTTGTGAACGCAGTTTCATCTCACTGGATTGTGCGTTCAACAGGAATTTCATCATTTTCAGTTCTAATACATTTCAGAATTGAGTTCCATATTTAAAAGCCGATAACAGTGACGATTTTAGTGAAACCGCTGTTAGTCCTTCCGCAAAAAAAGACGCAAAAATTTGACGAAAATGGTTTTCTTTATTTTCCGATATGTTCTTATTCTTTCTCAACTTTTCTGAAGTTTTCCTAGATTTCTTATGTTTTCTCCGTTAGCAAATTAGCTTACCAGCAAACTTGCCGCTCGCACTGCGGCAGCGTAGTCTGTGGCTAATAAGCCGCATTGTGCGGGAAAATGCAGTAGTTAACCAGCCATAGCGCCGCATATTGGTTTTATACCGCAAAATAGTCGCGGCCAAATCAGGCCTTATCTTTAAGTGATTTGGCCCGATACATAGTACCAAATTCGGGTACATACACGGGACCTTTCGCTGTCAGGCAACATCCGGTTCGGGAGTTATTAAGGACAAAAAATCCCAAAAGTTTAAACGCGCGGAGGTGCATAAAAAGTCTCATTATGAACCGATCCTTATGATTTTGCACGAAAGCACCCATTATTATGAAGATTGTTTTGGTACCGAACCAGCTTTCTACCATTTTTTTCAAATTTTAAAATGAATTTCAAAGTAGTGTGTGCTTTCGTGCAAAATTCGAAGAGCATCGGTTCATAATGAGACTTTTGGTACACCTCCGCGCGTTTAAACCTTTGGAATTATATTTCACTAATAACTCCTGAACCGGATGTTGCACGGACAAACGGTGTTTGCCCCTATGTATACGAATCCTTTGGTTACAAAATATCATAAAGCAATGCAAAAAAGTGTTTGGGAGAGCGGTGATGGCGAAAGTTGCCGTGGAAGTATCCGTATTTGGTGCTATGTACCGGGCCAAATCCCTTAAAAGCTTTCCCTGTTGTTTTAAATGCCATTTGCAATAACAGGTAAATCACTTAAAGATAATGCCTGTTTTACCTGTTGTTGTAAGTGCCATTTACAACCAAATGTAAAGGGTGTTTACAACAACAACAGGTAAAGAAAGCACTTAAAGATAACGCCTGTTTTACCTGTTGTTGTAAATTGCAGTGTGTGTTACCTGTTGGTTAATTCTGTAGATTCTTCATGACTACCAGTCCTGCGATCCGCGTCCGTCGGCTCATTATCGGGGACGCCAGTGGAGAATGGACGATGTAGCCGATGTCGAGTTGGCCAAATTGAATCGCTTCTCCTTGTACGCCTTGTCGCGCTTCTTGGAATACCCGAGTGAAGCGTCCGAGGAAGACACTTCACAGTCCGGTGTCTCCAACAGTGAATCCAGCAGTGACTACGATACCCAAGAATGAGATGGTTTAGGAAGGCCGATACGTTCTGATTTGGAATGGTACTACTCTTAACTCTGCTTGCGGAACTTTATCACTCTTGTTGCGATGGAATAATAATCTTTAACCTCTTTGTTTTGTAGTTTCTGTTCATGTTACTGCAGTATGTTGCTTATTGAAACACGGAAAAGTCGCTTGATTTGCGCTTTGCTCATGCGCTTGATCCGAGAAAATATGGGCCGGATGCGTGTTGAGCATTTTTGCTTACGCATTTTTTCACTTATCGTCTACAATGATTCTTCGTTTACAGTCTGTTGGCACAACGACTGCTGCTATCTGGGAATCGTGTTGAAGTGCCTTCTGATTGCAGGTTATGAAAACCTTCTTAATCAGTAATTTGCGACAGAAACAAACTCATTACCAGCCGTTTATGTGAAACTGATTACATACGAATATTTTTGTTCAAGTGTAACTGAATCTTGATATTGTTATTGCTGTATTGGAAATTAAAGAATAACGATATACGAGTGTACATTATTAGACACTTCGTAAATAAAACAATAGTACACGAGAAATGAAATAAACCGCAATTGGCCAATTGGTATTCCCCATTTTTTTCAGTTCAACTTCTCTACTTATTGCTACGAGAAACAGTCTCGGCTTTGTCAATGTCGCGTTGCTTGTGGTCGATGGCCGGTCTGTTCCACGGTCGGCCGGCCAGTTTGTTATTCTAAACTAAACATTCGCAGAACGTTTGCACTGGACAGGAAAGGAATTTTGGTCCCTCACTTCCACTCTTTGGTTACAGGACAGTCGTCGTCGTCGGTAACTCGCGGACCTAACAGGTTCCGTTAACAGGGACGTAGTGGTAGTTCGGCACTCCCTGACCTAGTGGGCTTTAATAACTGGGCAGCAAATCTCTAATCGACCTAGCGGGGCCCATACGAATTTTTCGCCTCCGCTACGATACCGTTATGACAATTATGAATATGTATTATGTGCCAGTTTAGTTCGGGTAAAGCGTAGGAAAATCATTATGTACAAGTATTTGTCACTGGCAGCGAAACCAAACTACAGATGCACTGACACAGTAAGGACGACTGTTCTTGCCGCAGACTTCGCTTATTAGTTATTATTACTTTTTATTGTTGTAATCGGGCGTGAGTTTTTGATTATTGAATTTTACAAACCATCATAAATTTATTCAAGCAGTTTGCGCGCGCTTGATTGACTGGTTCCTTTATATTCGTAACAGTGGCCCGGTGTTTATGGCGCCTTGCAGTTTGTCTGCTAGGTTTGACGAGGCAGAAAACGCTGAAAGAAACTGCAACAGGAGCATTTGCAGAAACACTTCAATGTGGAAATTCGTAAAGTTTGCCACTTGAAAATTCTTCCTGAGAAACAGATCCGTTCTAAACATAGCTGTCATGATTTACTGTATTCGATCAGACTAAAGTCTTCTATTCCAGTAATATTGCGATCACTGCAGCCACGTCTGGCCACTTGAAAATGCTTTTTCCAAAAAACTGTTCGGTTGCAATGCATGAGTTCGGCAGAAGTCGATGTCAGCATTACCGGTACGGCGGTACCAACAGTTATCGAACGAAGAAAGGAGAAAAGCGCATGCTGGCAAATTCCAAGGGAACACCTCAAATATAAGCGAGATAATTTTTCATTTGAGCTCGTTATTCCGATCAGTTTATTGTTTCACATGTGGTGTAGTTCGGTTTAATAAAACGAGCGCTCTGAGTCGATTGTTAACTGTTGTACTGTTTGTCCCAGTTAAAATGGCTGTGCGTTTATCCGTTTTGGGCACCTTTGGACTGCTGGTGCTGGTGACCTTTACAGCGGCTTCGCCCTTCGGTTCTTTCTTATCTAAAATATCGAAAAAGGGGAAGCTGGCGTCTCCGTATGAATATTTGTTCGTTATTGCTTCGGGTAAGTGGTACATCCGCATTTCAATCTAAAAAAATTAGGTACGAGTATTACAAACTCGACGGTGAAAATAAACTTTTATGAGATAATTGCTGGTTTAAGAACGGACGTAGCGAAGGCTAACTTTGTGTAGTAAAGACAGTGATGATAGACTAAGACTGCTGATATTTTGGTCGCTTTAACTACGTACTGGTAGACGTTATACCGTGCTCGTGGTCTGAGCGGCTAAATCAGTCACCGGCACCATCAGCCACAGGGCGCGCTGCATTTTATTACTACTGCAAGTGCTGCTATATGCTGCAGCCTGCAACTGCTGTACGCACAACCGGCTTTTTGAATTATGTGGTTTATCGTTTTAATGATAAAAACTTTGTTATGAAAAACTGACACCTTTTGATAGCAGAGGGGAAACGTACACGAGTCTTTGAATTTATCAAAATCTGAGACAATCGAGAAATCACTCTATCATGCAAAGGCGGCTCCAGTTAGGTGATAATAATTAAAATGATTATATAACCTCGATGAATTCTCTTTAAATTTATACGAAAATGCGTTCCAAAGCAACAGTAAAGAAAAAATTAAATGGCAAAAGGCCAGGATAGATTGTAGCTGCTGCGCATGTGGACATCTACATCTGATAGTTTACGCTTACTGATTTTTTATAATACGGAGTTTATGCAGTATGTCGTACTCGGTAAATGCAAAATTCTCCTGAAGAAATTTTCTATTACAGCTAATGGACCTTCGATGAACGAGCGGTTCAGAGACAAGGATGGATTTCGGTTCGCCCATGTTTACCAGATGGAGTTTGGCACGGACATTCGGTTTTATTACAATGGTTTCGTGTTCAGGTCACCCAAAGATAAGCTTGATAAGCTTGTCAAAACCGCAAAGACAGATTTACCCGCCCGGTCAGTGAGATGAATTAATTATGCCTTCCTTAGATATTGTATCCGCATGGTCCAGCTGTACCAAATTTATTAAACCAACGACACTATTGAGAAAATATTTTTTTCCAGCTATCGTCATTTGGAGAACAGTCCGCTCGCCAACTATTATATTCACACAAAATTGTTGGATGTGCGTGAGGATTTGGTTCCAGATCTGCATTACATGATCGATCATGCGGAGGAGTTGTGGGACCGTGGTAATCAGCACATCAATTATACGGTTTTTTCCAAAACACTGCCCAAAAGCAAACAACATGGCCCTCTCACATGGGATCAGCTCCCCAAACAAGTGTTCGATGGGCTGTTGGAGCCGGATTCCTTTCCAAAGACATCCCTGTCGAAAGGAGCAAAGGAAGCTCCATGGTGAACCGGAAGCACGACGACGAAATTGCCCCGAAACTGTGCTTGTGCAATCGGTTCCATACATCATATAATTAACCCATCCTGCAGCTTTGCATAATCGTCTATTATTCCTTCATGTCTCTGATTGTCAAGTAACGTAAGAATATGTATATCTACCTACTAATTTGGTTTGTGCGCGGCTTTCATTAGCATGGTTTCGGTTTCCATGTTTCGGTGTACCGTTCTAAAATAAATTGAATTGTGAAATAACTGATATATTGCATGAAATTTGATTCAATAACGGCCCGGATCCGGGTGACGAACACTAAACACAACACTTTTCCCAAGGCTGTATGGATGGTATGGTTATCGTCCACTTACTACTCATTAACATGTCCAAGAAACTGAATGTTATTTCGCGCACGGTTTGCTTCATCAATAAGCAAATACATAATGTTTTCTGATGAAGGTATAGTGTAATTCTAGAGTAGTCAATGTTACTGTTAGTGGTACGGTGGTACCAACTTTAATAGGCGATTGAATCACATGTAAATAATGTTCATACAATATTTTCTTGATTTCTTTGATTCTACTTAGTTTCTTAAGAGAACTGATTCGGTCGCACCCGGACAACTGGGAGTGTGACATTTCGCCGCACTGAAACTCGACGCGCGACTTTTCGTCGCGAAGACATTTCGCCGCCGGACATTCGGACGCTTGGACACTTCGGCTTGGTGAAACAGTGAAACTTGACACTTCAACTGATCGTAAGCAGCCATCAATAGCACGGCTGGGCTGTAGCAACAGATGCAGCTGCCTATGTACACTTTATCGACAACAGCTTAATTAATGTCAGCTTAATTGTTGCCAGTTAGGTGGGTTTGCTATTTTTGAATGCAGCAGCGGACAACCGGCATCAATCATGATCATTGCAAGACGTAATCAGTTACTTGAATGTCGTTACAAGTTAATATTGTTCGCAATTTCATTTTCTGTTTAACTCACAGACTATGTATGCTTTTGGCTATCTTTTAAAATTTTTGTTTAAAATTCTGGTATGATATAAAAATTAATATTGGGTTTTTGCAAGGCCGAAATTAAACCCTCAAGACTTCAAAGTGTTTTCGGAAACAACTTTGCCAACAATAGATCGGCCGAACTGCGCAGTAGTCCTGAGACCCGACAATACACATTGTCTTTGGGAACTCCAGTGGATCTGCCAAAGGAGAACACCAATCAAACTTGATAATTATTACAGTCGTGCGCAAGCCGGTATACCAGTCACTGCTGAACGATCCTATTCGTTTTTGTCAGATAGTGCAATAAACTTATTGTAGGATTTAAGCATGGGCACTTGTCCAAGACTGCGTATTAATTAATATCTATAGATTGCATCAATCAAGGGCGTATGCAGCACATAGGCATTATAAAAAGTCGCCGCAAATGACTTGATTAAGTATATTTATACTATATTGGTAGCTCATGATCACGTTTTTATCCTGATACGTTCAACAAAAGTATAGTAAACCGGGCTCGCCAACAGTCCTGTTGACCTGTTGGCGAGCTTGGCGGAAAAGTGGTTATCCTCCCATAGATCTGCCGAACTGCACCCACACTTCTGCCGACCCGACCCTATGCATTGCTTATGGGAACTCCAATAGATCAGCCGAAGAGGCACAACAGTGAAACTTGATATCTCTGTTGAGCGCAAGCCGGCAGTAGCACGGCCGGGCTGCAGCAGAGATGCAGCTACAATCTGACTAAATGAGGAGGCTACGGTCTATGTTAAAATGCCAGCGAACAGCCTTTTTTGCCCGCTGAGGCTGGTTGATCAATGCAGCCTCTCTGCTGTGACTATAAATAGACTGAAGACAGCGCATTCCGGTGCTGCCAAAAAGCGCAAGCGGAGTGCTGCCTTGCTGTATCGATCGATCGCGCACATGTGTGTGTGAGTGGGTAAATCCGCTCGCATTCACTTACACACGTATGAGTGTGGCTGTCTGTGCGCGTACTAGCTGTACAAACCGGTTTTCGCTGTCTTCGCTACAACGCATACCCTAAACCCGTAGCTTCCTTTCTTGCTCGCATTGTACCTATAGCTAACCATATTACACTGGTACTAAACAGAGAGAAGCACGCGCTGTTCATTGCGCTATGTCTCAACCTTGCAGACGAGCGTTTCTGTGGAGTGTACGGTAGACTGAGGCCCCCTGCATCATTGCAAGACGTAATTAATTATTTTAAATATGGTCACATGTTATTACTATTTGCAATTATTAATTTATGTTCCATTATTTTATTCTACTATACTGTATACTTCTGCGATCTTATAAGAATTTTTTTAATTTTAATTAATATGACAGGGCTCCATTTATTGCTAAAATTAGAGTTTTGAAAATTAATAAGCGTTTTCGAAAACAATATTACGAGTCATAGATTTGCCGAACTGCGCCAATAGTCCTGACGACCCGGCCCTTTGTATTGTCTATGGGAACTCCAATAGATCTGCCGAACCAGAGCAACAATGAAACTTACCGATCGCTAGCCGGCGTGCTAATATCTGCTGAGTGAGTTCTGCGTTTTTTTTTCTCGGAAACGACAGCAGTTAATACGAGCGCGTGAACTTGCACGAGAATGCATATTCTCTTAAACTGCACCTCTCAGCTGCATATGCAGCACATTCACAATTACAAAAATCACCGCAGTTGGCTTTATTTATTACAAATAAGTATTTTGGTAGTGGTAATCACTGCTAAACTTTGCACACGTGAAAGACACCCAGTTCTTCTGCAGTACACCCGGTCCATTTCCAGTTGTTCTCTTTGTTTTCTATGAAAATTTATTGCTGTTTATTCTCCGAAGGCTATAAGTACAATGTACAATCTGACTAAATGAGGAGGCTACGGTCTATGTTAAAAAGCCAGCGAACAGCCTTTTTTGCCCGCTGAGGCTGGTTGATCAATGCAGCCTCTCTGCTGTGACTATAAATAGACTGAAGACAGCGCATTCCGGTGCTGCCAAAAAGCGCAAGCGGAGTGCTGCCTTGCTGTATCGATCGATCGCGCACATGTGTGTGTGAGTGGGTAAATCCGCTCGCATTCACTTACACACGTATGAGTGTGGCTGTCTGTGCGCGTACTAGCTGTACAAACCGGTTTTCGCTGTCTTCGCTACAACGCATACCCTAAACCCGTAGCTTCCTTTCTTGCTCGCATTGTAGGACTAAATGGTCGCATAGCCCCATACCCAGCATTCTGTACGCAAGCGGTGCAGTGCACTTGTACGAAACGGATATTTTCAACTCAATCGTACAGACGGTACAGTGCATTGCGCTGCATTCGTACTGAATGTGGAGATGTTGGGTATGCGACCATTTTGTCCTAAGCTGTAAGTTTTACTATGAAAAGTTATCAATCTGAAACCTTATTTTCTTAGAAAATCTTAAGAGTAAATACAAACTATACGAACTATTAACTATACGAGCTATATACAAAACTAACTATACGAACTATTAACTATACGAACTATACGTATTTATTGCAATTGGAACGGGAACGGGTCAATGCTGTATGTAAATATTTATTGCAACGCAAACAAAGTTCATTGTCAACCATCATTACTACCATTAATATACTTATTCATGCTTATTCAAGGTATTTGCAGCGATCTTCCTAACTGTCAATTGCTGCACATGCTATTAATACAGTAGATGCAATTACATATAGATGACGCAGCAGGGTGAGCAGACGCGCTAGTAAAATCTATTGTCATGTTCGACAAGAACGCACACGCTCGTTCAGCTGCCACAAGTATACGGCGGCTAGCGCACGACGGTGATATCAAGTTTCACTGTATTTCTCGTTCGGCAGATCTACTGGAGTTCCCATATTGTCGGGTCGGCAGGGCTATTGACGCAGTTCGTCAGACCTATTACTGATAAAGTTGTTTTCAAAAGTACTTTAAAGTCTTAAGGGCTAAATTTTAGCCTGACAAAGCCCGGTGTTAACTTTAATATCATATAAAATTTTAAGCGAAGTTCTCAAAGAGAAAGGGTACACAAGTAACATATGTACATAGTCCATGAGACTCAATAGAAAATAAAATTGCGGATATTAATAACTTGTAGCTAGGATTGTCATCACGTCATCACACGCTATCACAATCACGCCGTTTACCTGTTCACAATCCCATCATGCCGAAGAATTTTGGCCGTGATAACGTGATGGGATGAGTGATGGGATTGGGAAGCGATGGGATGATTTCCCAGGGCCCAGAAGTTTGTGTTTTAGCGGCACATTTTACTGTGCGTCAGTTATGCCGCATACAGCTTAGGACAAAAAAGACGCATAACCCCACACCCAAATATCCGTACGCATGTGGCAAGTGCACTTGTACGACAACCGGATATTTTAGCTGAGCCGTTCAGCGCACTGCGCTGCATGCGTTCGGAATGCTGTGGGTGGGATAATGGGATTATGCGTCTTTTTTGTCCTAAGCTGTAAGTTTTGCGCGCTCCAAAATCTTTTTCGTATTTATATCAGGCGAACCCCGTACGGGAAAAAGTTATAAGCAAGGCCATGAGCATTCTGGCCATTACGGTACGCTTCGCCGCTTCCACAACAGTGCATTTGGCTGGATGACAATGCATTTCTCACTTGTGATAGCTGTTTTTATAACGCTCATATTTTATGAAAACATTAAAAAAAGTTTTGTAAAAATGTTTGTTTTAAAAAAAATCCATTAAAATTCATTTTATTTTCGTCCCACCGATCCCGCCAATCCCATCACATCCCACTTCAAAAATCAGGGTAGGATGACAACCCTACTTGTAGCTACATTCAAATATTTGATTACGTCTTGCAGTGGTCATGAATGATGTCGGTTGTCCGGTGCCTGCATTACCATTTAGGATACTCAGCTACATGGCAAGAATTAAGACAAAAACGTACATAATCTTTGAGATAAACTGAAAATGAAATTGCGAATAATATTAACTTGTAACGACATTCAAGTAACTGATTCGTCTTGCAATGATCATGATCGATGCCGGTTGTCCGCTGCTGCATTCAAAAATAGCATACCCACCTAATTGGCAAGAATTAAGCTGACATTAATTAATCTGTTGTCGATAAAGTGTACATAGGCAGCTGCATCTGTTACTACAGCCCAGCCGTGCTATTGATGGCTGCTTAGTGCTTACGATCAGTTGAAGTGTCAAGTTTCACTGTTGAGCCGCTTCGGCTGATCTATTGGAGTTCCCATAGACAATGCATAGGGCCGGGTCGGCAGAGGTGTGGGTGCAGTTCGGCAGATCTATGGGAGAAAAACCACTTTCCTGCCGGGCTCGCCAACAGTCAACAGGCCAACAAGTTTGCCGGCTACACGTATACAATCTGGGCTTAACTCAATCCGGGGCAGCAGACACGTCATAAAGAACGAAAAAGAACAAGCGTACAACAGCAGCAAGCTAACAATTTTCACAAGTATTCACATTTTCAACAGGGACACATGTTCAGGGTGGTAAAACTTTTTTAAACACACAACGGTTTTCCAGTCAACGCGATTTAAGGCTTCAGTAAATCTACAATGCTAATATTAATAAATACTTCTATATAATTACGATGCAGAACATGTACTTCATTATTATCCGGAAATTCATTTTGGTTTTTGGGGCATTATTTATTGCCACTGGCCCACTACCGTGCAGTTTATGAAAATATAACACTGAATTCACTATAATCAGTTCTACGAACGCTGTAAACTGCACAGCACTGAGGATCAATATCCGCGCCGATGCACATTCTCCATAAAGTTAGCGATATCAGGATAGACAGCAGATGATGGTGAATTATCGATCCAACCTCCAGGAGCCCTTGAAGGCTGGATCAACATCGCACCCTGTCTCCCGCTCATACTTACGATGGAATTAAAAGCGATTGACGAACGGCAGCACTATCCGCAGAGAACATGTTAATAGTTTTTCTTTTAAATCTTCATTGAATCATGCGATTAAACACGGTGAAGATTGCGCTGGATCATTTATACTACTCGCAACCGTACGGCAAGTCGTTCGCAGTGGATGTGGTGCGAGGTAACGTGATTCAGCGGGGATATGTTACGGATACAACTCAGACTGGGCTTATCATCGACTTCCATCACGATGGCTTGTCAGCAACGGAACTGATCGACTTCTCCTGTATCCGCGCTTTACCAGCCAAAAAACACTCCGCTCTCCGTTACCTTAAGCCACCGGAAAAGAACTCCGAGGTTGAAGTACTGATTCGGAGCGCAGTGTAAGTGCCTGAAAGTTATTATGGTCTGTGATTAACAGCGAGTCTAAGAAGTCTGTCTAATTGGGCAGTCGGAGAAATTCGTAAGAGGGAGGAACAGCCGAACTATTCAATTTTTTTTAAAGTTCATCATATCTGGTTACTTCCTAACTGGTCCAAGCGGTTATGACATATCAAGGAAATAACTATTGACGGAATTTATTAAGTGTTAGAGAGTGCGCAGCGTAAAAGTTTTCGTACACGTACACGTACACAAACTTGGTACCATATAGCGGGTACCAATAACAGCCATTTTGTGCTGACTATTAGGACTGTCAAATATCAGCAGCCCGCGTGTATCGGCGGCACGACTGCTGCGCACGTATCGGTTACTCATTTTTCCGCTATGACTAAGAGAAAAAAAGTGAAACATGTTCCCACCACTGATAACGGATACACTCGTATAAATAAACACCAAATCTGACAACACCGTGAATTCTGCAATAATTCTACCTTCAGTGCCATTCCCTACCATGGATAACGCAACACAACAAGCGCAAACTTGTTAAGAAAAATAATCCCACATAGCTTAATGACATGTAATCAATTTTTTTTCATGTGTAATAAATTTGCTAATTAGGTGCTAAAAAAACCAGGTGCGAAATTACTAATTCGGGGCAGATTCGCTAACTAATTAGCTGCTAATTGTGCTAGTTAGGCGTGAATGACTCTAGTTAGTTCATCAAATTTTCGCCAAGTTACTAATTTTAAGGTTAATTAATTAAACCTTATTATCTTAAAACTTAATGACGAACTACAGTAAGTAAAGCGTAATTACATGCAGTTTAATGCAGTCTGGATCACTACGAACGTTTATCAGCAGCGCAAGATAATTTTAAAGAGTTGACAAGCGGTCATGAATGTGAGCGCGAATTATAAAACCGAGCTCAACAGCTCGGTCTTCTAATTCAGCAATTGATTCTCCATCTGACCAATGCGCGCGGCGTTATCAGTGAATCTGTCTGACTCACAAATCAGTGCGTGAGTTGTTGCGCACTCGAGAGTTTTGACCTAGATACAATTCGCATCAGAGTCCCAATACGTAGCATATTTGACAGCAACTATAAGTTGCTGCATATTTGACAGCAACTTATGACTGTATGAAGAATCGCAGTTCCAAATGCTAGGGACCAACCGCTGACCTGGGAAAAGGCCGTTTTTATAGCAACAGTACCTGATTATGGCTTTGGCAACAAGTCGGCCTCCATTGAAGGTGAACAGTTTGCCTTGGTCCGACTCCGTTCCCGAAATCCGTTTTCCTTGGCCGCCGTAATCAATCTGTATTACCCACAAGCCGCCAGCGACATACGTATCCGTCAGAAGCGACTCTGGCAAACCGTCACGCCGGAGACCTTTTACAAAGTGATAGTGCCGCACGCGTCCTGCCAGAAGGCCGATTGTCCGTTCCCACGGTCTCAACTGCTTTATTATATGAAACAGCCAGACACGGGATTCAAGTTGATCTGGCTCGTAATGACCGGAACGCTTATTGTGGCTGCGGACGATATGAATGTCACTGTGGTGTGCCGCCAGAAGGCTAAACGACTGTCCAATAAAATCCATCGATTGGTGTTTCATCTATACGACAGCTTTGTCGAGCGATATTGTGGAAGCTACGCTATGGCTTTGCGTACGCAAAAACTGTACCAGCGAAGAAGTATTGCTTTAGGCCAAAACAGTTCAACAGGTAACCTTCAAACTAATTAACCAACGACTTCCAATAACTTTCTATTTTTTCGTCGACCGACGCGAAGCGAAGGTCCTCTACGTTCAAGAAAACAGGAATTCTGTCGGTCACGTCGGTCACATCAGTCATGTCGGTCACGCTTAAATAATTTTGCCGTATACTGCCGCAACATCATATGATAATAACAAATACAGAAGAGATTGTTCAGCTCTGCCTTTGTTAGCCTCTATCTATATATATGCAATTCCTTCCATTTTATTTATGTACTGTAATAGGAGACTCCACACGTCTGGAGACATGGTTTACAAAGACCAATCAAAAACTGTGGCACTACGACGACTGGCTGAATACGAAACCCAAGGACATTGGTATGTACAGTATAATGTAAAATTAATCCGTGACATGCCCTACGCCCTTAAATACGACCAACCTGACCGCATTCAGCAGTCAAAGATACTCGGGAGATCCCTTCTCTGCTAACTACTTAACTACAATGCGAGCAAGAAAGGAAGCTACGGGTTTAGGGTATGCGTTTAGCGAAGACAGCGAAAACCGGTTTGTACAGATAGTACGCGCACAGACAGCCACACTCATACGTGTGATAAGTGTATGCGAGCGGATTTACCCACTCACACACACATCTGCCGATCGGTTGCGGGTTGTTTTACGTCCGTTCGCGACGTTAGCAGCTGTAACCTAGCGTCGTGCGGTGACGCGTAAAAACTATCTGCCTTACGCGGATGCTTGCAACGGCTCAGACACATGAATGAATGGCAGGCCAGCGTATGCTACCCGTGGATCTTTTTTGAGCACCCAGACCGCCGACCGTTAGCAGGGTGGTCACGTCCTCGCGCGCACTCGACTCAATTAATTTTTTCGTTGCTGTACGTGACCAAAGTGTAACCGCACAAAGATCTGAAGCAGTTCTCATCCTGCCAACGTACTGCTTATCCGACGCCGTGCGATTCTATGTACGGAGCCTCTACCGTATGCAATCTGAAATAGGCTATTTAGTCAGATTGTACGGTTAAGCGTTAACTGCTAGAAAAGTACGCTCGCTTTTTGTGGGCACTGCGTGACCGAATCGCAGCAGAATTACACGATAAACGAAGACTATGGGGAGCGCAACTGGTCTTTATTCGCAGTATTTAAAGAAACGAGCACCACTCACAAAAAAATCATATGCCTCACATCACTTACTCCTAAAGCAGTGCATGAATGAAATCCTTTCATTATTCTGCTTAAGGCTTAAGCAATCTCTACAAAATACCGAATAGCTTACTGCTGAAAATTTTGGCTGTTCGTCTGTGGAGCAGTGCCTAGCGTTTATACGTTAGCAGTGCCTAGCGTTTGCCTCGTATGTTAAAAATGCAACGGTCACTGGGCTGAACACTATTGCACTCATTTCACTCATTAGTGTAAGCTCTGCAATAAAAATATTATGGGTGTTGTCAGGTGGTGTACGGAGTAGAGTAGTTAGCAAAATACCTGTAAGAGCCAGAACAAGTATCGTTGCTGCAATAGAAAACGTACGAGTAAGCTGGAGACATTAGTATTCTTCTTTTTGTAGGCATAGTTGAGCCTCACGAGGCGTTTCCAACACAGATACAGACTCTTCCGAATATCGTATTGCTGGAGGTGCTAACAAATTTGGACAGATTAACCCAGAGAGATCTCCAACGGTAAACGTCAAGCCATCAGAAGCTGCCCATAGTTCGATGATCTCAAAGATACTTCAAGTGCGAAATTTGATGTTGCAGTTGCTGGTTTTGTGTGACATCTTATGCGCTAAGATGTGTTAAACGTCTTTTGCACTAAGATCTGCAGTAAGATGTGTTGACCAGCAGTTGTGCGTTACAGCGTTTGCCGGAAATGGTTTAACCTTCAGTCAAGCCCCATGACAGACAAGTTATTGATCCTGGATGATCCGGGCAGCTTTGTCCAAGATCACAATCACCTAGTGTACTTGGCTAATGGATTTCTGAACTACACCGCAGTTTCAACACGAAGTGTGCTGGTGAAACACCTTGCCGCCAGCCAAAGCTACACGATCATGCTGTTAACCACAGAAATGCAGCTGCACTTAGATCATTACCTGTCCTATCGCAGTGATGTGCCCTATCGCAGCCATACCGGCTACCTGGAGGCTGAACTAGCGCTGTACCCCGAAGTCAACAATTTGCACCTGTACTGCACCATGGACTTGGAGAACTCCCAGCGACTAACATTAGGTACGTGCAAGAAACGGTACACGCAACTGACGCAAGAAACTTCATAGTTCCGACTATGCTGTCATCTCTATGACACTCTCCTCTACTCGAACAGGAATAATCACACGCTACTGATGTTAATGTAATAATGACGTTTGATCGAAAAAAAGGAACTGTAAAACTGATTTCGGTTTTTGAGTGGAATTCGTCGTTATCACAAATGCTTATCGTAGAAATAATTCTGGCAACACCGGACGAAATAAAACGGCTGATAAGTAATCCGGACGGTGGCTGGACTTACTGCTGCACCACGGGAACCATGACTGACACCGTTAAGGGAGTTTCGCTGGTGCTAGACGCGCTAAACCTCCGCTGCTACAAGCACGGCAAGTTACCCGAAGCCGTCAACTGCGGCAACTTTTGGCGGTGGAACGATGGTAAAAAATTAAAAGAGGGTTTGCAGTGTTGGCCCCTCAGTCCAGCCGTGCTGGATGCCTTAGCGAAGGGATTTGGGGATTACAGTCCGCAAAACGAAGTACGGACATGTTGTTGGGTAACAGGATTTCAGCCAGACATTTTGAAAGTGCTCATCCGGAAACCCCGAACGGTGGGAGCAGATCACTTTAGTTTATGCGGCGTGGAGAGTTGGTTTCGATTTACCCTCAGTGGAACGGCCGATAAGAAGCAAGCACTTGAGCAACGGACTGAAACGCCTGAATGTATTGATTGGGAGTTTAGTTTTCGCACAAACTGCTGCATCATTTGAATACTGCTGTTGTGATTCACATGCGATATGCTTTCTAGCTACTGATTCTTAAGGACGCTATATACCATCATTAATATTTCTATCTGATATGCTTAAATGCCTGTTATTTACAAATGATACTGATGCTTTTCGCTTTTTTTGCACACATTCGATCGCTCAGTCCGATTCCTCTTCTAGTAATAATTCCCTGGGCTTTGCCTTTCCGTTCGTTTACATCAACGTATTGTACACATCATTACACCTTGTAAAAAACAGCATTAGCATACTTGACCGAGGAGTCTAGCGGATGCTATAGCCTTTTGTGTTAATTCGTCCTGCCAAAGTCACGTAAGATGTACGTGTAGTGCCAATTTCAGGATTACAGCAGCCCCGCGAGAGGCAAGGAGGCATCAACGCCCCTCCAGGTATCACTTTTAAATCCTGAACATCACTGCAAAGCATATCAAGCAGCCCGGTACCGAGGGTGGTAACTGTTAAGACTCGAGAGGAGGTTCCACAGTAATTCGTCACCTTTATATATCCATGTACTCTATTTGGCCGTAAATATCGGTTTCCTTCAGCGCTACACTACTTAGTCTGAACGCCTGCAGTTTATTATTTTCAGAAACGCAAGGCGGTTCATTCTGCAATATGTGAAAAGGGAAGACGGGTCATAGAAATGAAGGATGGTATCTTTTGTGATCCCATGTCAGCCAAATTTATCGCAGCGCGAAAAACACGGCTATCCGCGATATTAAATCTGTTCCTTTTAGATTACATCATCGTAGTTATTTGTGAGAGTTTTCGGCAAGTCTTCTGTAATTTTCAAATAATGATTATTCCTCCCCGTTGTAGGTTTTATGTAACAGCCTTTCCAAATATTATTAAGTGCAGTGTATTGAAGGGTTTTTACATCCGTAGAACATGATGCGTCGTCTATGGAATAAGTTTCGTCACCCGTGGCGACCGATCTGGATTTACTCGACGGATTGGCCGGCACTGGGCCCTATTCGCAGGATGCCAACGCGATGTTCACCTCCACCACCACACTGGATCTGCTGGGCGACACGGAAGAAATGGGCCCCACCGCCGAACAACTGCTCGAAGAAGTCGCCAGTGCCGAGGGCAACGAGCAGCTGGTCTTCTTCGACGACTACGCCGGAGACGACGAATTGGCCGGTCTGCACACGCATTCCCGCAACACCGGCATCAAGGTAACCTTCCAACACAACATCGACGGCGCTCTTATTTCAAAAACTCGTTCAATTCCGGCGGGGATCAGCCCGGCACGCAACGCCGGCATCATCATCAAGGTCAACGACAATCTGACCTCGGGGACCAAATCGTGCGCCCTGTCTGTTCTCCAGCGGGCACGTGCCAGAGCAGTCGAGCACGACCATCTGGCTGCTGCTCTTCGGCGGCCTGGGCGTCTCCGTCCGCCTGTGCGTCCTGGGCCGAAAGGTCATCGAGACAGTGGGCAGCAGTCTGGCCGTCATCATTCCCAGCAGGTACGTGCATTATCTTAAGTATACTGCATCTAAGATTGGTGCATGAGTGTGTGCGTGTACTACAGTGGTTTCTGCATCGGCCTGATTTTTAGCAAAATTCTGCCAGTGCTTTCTCGTATGTAATTATTTATTTTTAATTTATTTAACAATAAAATTTCTCTAAAAAATGTCGATTTTCTTAAAATGTTTTAGTGTTAAAAAACTGCTTTTGATGACCTTTTTAATAACTATTTTTTTTGGCTTCCAATGCAATTTGTACTGCATCTGCAGTTCCCGCGCCGTTAACTGGAAGGTCTTCGGCAACATTATGGGGTACGCGCTGATCACGGTGCCCGTGGCGGGCGCCCTAGCCGCTGGCAGTATGGCCCTGCTGGGACTCTTGCCGTAACCGGTTAAGTTGCCCACCACGAGATAGCCAGCATGGACGGTTCGTACGATTACACTGGGATATCGTAATGTGGGTTTTTGTTAATTCGTTTGAATGCTTGCTTGGTGCATCATGCGTTGAGACTATTCGATTGAGTAATAAAAAAAATGCCCCAGAACGCATAGCGCAGTACCGATCACTGCAATCGACATTGATAACCTTCCGGAACACAAGGACTTTTGGGTTAAGTATTTCATTCATAATTACTACCATAAAGTCTTCCTTCATAAACACGAAGTCAAAATTTATGAAATTTGTACATAGAATAGACATAAAACATCAATTAACGTGAAAATTAGAGCGATACCTAACCGATTATCGCATTAATAAAGCGGAATGTTTGACTTCACGTTCGGCTGTACAGAGTCTGTATACGGATACCATCCTATATCCTATATAATAAAAGATTAAGAAGAGGTGTGGTCATCGTGTCTGCGCATCCATCCCGCTCGATACATTGGATCAGTCTTTAAGCTCTATATATTATTCGATAGCCCTAATTTAGCAGGTTTTTACAAAATCAGTTTGATTTGAGAAAACGGATACGTTTTAAAGAAAACTCTGGGAAACTTTACTATACAAAGTCTACGGAACAATGCAACAGCCAATCAGGGAAATCGGAAACAACTCCAAAACCAGTTGGTGGTTAAGTACCTGTCTTCGCAAGCGGTATGCTTAATTTAACGTATCAGCCCGTCCATGGGGTAGGACTAACTGTAGGACAATATTCACCGTTGAATTGCAAGTACGAGTACTGTTTTCAGTGTATTGGCTGCTGCATGAAAAAGCGTGAGCGCGAACGAAGTTCTGCCTCTGCCACTTTGCACTCTTATCGTTTATTAAAATTTATTGACTTTATTAATTTTAGTTTTAGTAACAGTTAAAGATTTAGAAAGTACAGTTGAGAAATCCTTCACTATTAACCGAAGGCGGAGCCGCAGGCGACGCCGAGCTGCGGCGCGAGCGGAGCTCGCGGAGCAGCAAGCGAGACACCCAATTTCGGGGGGAGAAATTACGAATAAGACAATTCCCAGTGCCCGGCGTGTTCCGAACTTGCGGATCTTAAGATCTACAATCTATGTGCTCGCAAAAAATAGTTAAAATATGAAAATATGAACTGGATACCACTTAAATTATCTCTTACCATGATATTCGTTATAAACTTTAAGTAAAGTCTGAAGTCTGAAGCCTAGAGGGGCAACTGCTCCGTTGCAAGGACAATAAACTTTCATTCAGTAGTTTCAAGATAATTTTCTGTAGCAGAAAAATTAGTATACCGATTACCAATTTACGTTCTTCGGTACCTGACCGTCATTAACTGTGATGATGGTACGATCACTATAAAATTGACTGTCTCGGGCATATGTAAAATGGAATTTCTTCTTTGATTACACCAAAGGCATTCAAAACGCATGTCTTTTGAGGTCTAACCAAAAAACGTTTGCTGTATAACGGGTAACTTTAAATATTATTTGCAATTTGAAAAGGCAGTTTACGTAAAACTGGGATTGAGGCTGTTTCCGGTATGCGCGTAGCCGGTATTCAAGTTTACGTAGCAGGAAAGGGTGGGAGCGATTAATTTTTTGTTATTCGACGAAGCTTAAGGGATTTGGCCCGGTACATTGCACCAAATTTGTATATATCCACGGCAACTTTCGCTGTCGCGCACTCCCAAACACTTTTTTGCATTGTTTTATGATATTTTGTAGCCAAAGGATTCGTAAACATAGGCGAAAAAACCGTTTGTGCGCGCAACATCTGGTTCGGGAGTTATTAGTGAAATAAAATTCCAAAAGTTTAAACGCGCGGAGGTGTACCAAAAGTCTCATCATGAACCGATGATTTTCAAATTTTGCACGAAAACACACATGACTACGAAGATCGTTTTGGTACCGAACCAGCTTTCTACCATTTTTTTAAAATTTTAAAATAACTTTTTAAATTTTTGAAATTCATTTTAAAATTTTTGAAATTTTTGAAATTTTTGAGATTTTTAAAATTTTTGAAATTCATTTTAAAATTTGAAAAAGATGGTAGAAAGCTGGTTCGGTACCAAAACGATCTTCATAGTAATGTGTGTTTTCGTGCAAAATTTGAAAATCATCGGTTCATAATGAGACTTTTGGTACACCTCCGCGCGTTTAAACTTTTGGAATTTTATTTCACTAATAACTCCTGAACCGGATGTTGCGCGCGCAAACGGATTTCACGCCTACATATATAAATCCTTTGGCTACAAAATGTCATAATGCAATGCAAAAAAGGGTTTAGGAGCGACAACCAATTTGGTGCTATGTACCGGGCCAAATCCCTTAATTACAAGGGATGGAGGGGTCGGGAGTGTTTTCTTGCGTGGCAGGCCGTCACTATAAAAAACAATGAAAATATTAATATGTTTAAATTTAGTTATATAAGGAGTGGTTCGGCTTCTGCTACGTATGCGGTAATAATTTTGTCGCACAAAGGTTACATGTTACAACAAGGGGCTAGGGGTGATAAATCGTATAAAAAGAACCTACGTAAACGTGAATTGCGCTGTAGTGCATCTAACATTATGTACCGTTATAAGTCTGCAACCCGAAGGTGCGCGCGAAAGCGAACCTTACGCCAATGCTTACAAATCTTTTGACTACCCAATGTTAACAGCAATTCAAAAAAGTGTTTGGAAGTGCGCGAACGCGAAAGTTCCCGCGGATGTGCACGAATTCAGAGCTATGTACCGTGCTACTTCCATTAAGCCGAACTAGACGTCACATTTATCGTAAAAATTAAGCTTACTCATTCCAAGAATATTCATATTCCGGAATACACTAAGAAATAACCCAGAAGAAAGTCTTTGAGAAGTTTTTAATTACGTAAGTGAGGTAATTTATTTGTAATTCGTTTAATTTCTTCCGCGCAATTTGAGCGGGGTCTACTAGTCCTTCATAAGCCTGTTTACCTTTACGTACTAAATAAAACCCTAACCTAATTTTCGACGTAACGTTCCAACTGATATACATTAATTACGAGGACATTTGGGTGCTGTGAACATACCCTGCACGATTAGGCTGCGATGAACAGCCGGCTAAATTTCTAGCCGTTTGCGTTCAGACTGTGAAATCAGTAGCGTTGCGAGCTACGGCTAACCAGCTGTTCATCGCAGCCTAATCGTGCAGGGTATGTTCACAGCACCCAAATGTCCTCGTACATTTTATGATCGCGCTTTTCCACAGCCGCAGCATTACATAACACTGACTCAGTGCTGGTCCAGAAACGGTCAGCATACTGTACATGTGTACAACGACAATGCGCATCAACGCGCAGCATTCAAACAGGTGCCGTACAGATACATAATCGACAATACACAGTGCAACGGAACACAATCACCTGCCCTACAAAGGTGTCCCAATTCATCAGTCACTGGCACGGTGTGGTACATTCGCATTCTATGCAGATTAATAACGACACAGTATGCACAATAATATTGTAGGAAAAGTTGCTACGCAATCTGTAACTCGCAATCACAAACTCGCAATCTGTACGCTACAACCGGGCTCGGAGAACAAGCACGAGTTTTATACAGGTGTACAGATACATGTTTTCTACAAGTGTTCAGTTATTTCCATGTAAACTGATCGGACTTTCTACGATAATCCACACTGCTTGTTTACATGCATACCATTATCCGCCGCGATAAATCACTTGATATCTTGCAATGTCCACTTGACATGAAGTGTGTACGTTGTTTTATCAGCTCTCAGGAAAAATTGGCTAACCTGCGAAATGCCGGTCTAGGTTAAGCAGCGTCGTTTATTTACAGCGGAAAAGCAGCTACAGTTGCCGACCAGCGTGTTGACAGGTCGCTGCGACGATTAGCCGGTACTGGGTTCAAGTACGCCTGTCAACACTGCGCCGTATGGTTTTCCATTTGGAGAGACCATTAAGGAAGCCCTGATAGCGGTCTAAGTGTATGCACGTCGAGAGGCGGTAATATAGTGCAGTCTGATGATGGACAAGATAATTAAATAAAGACACGCGTCACTCCGCAACAATCGCCGGCGTTCATTACAGTTTTATTACCCGTGGTTTATATTTACCTTAACATTCGTTTGGAACGACAACAACGGAGTATCTTATTTGAGTAAAATGGCAACACAGACGCATGTGCATGCGACGGCGGTGAATGCGGGAGATGCGCTGGCCAAGACGGCGCAACCGTGCTGGACGGCGTCGTTTCCGGTCCGCGCCGGGGACGTGCTGATGCGCAACGAGCCCTGGTTGTATTCACTGCATCCGGAGAATTTCCAGAATTACTGCTATCGATGCTTCGTCCCGTTCTCCAACGAATTCGCACTGGATTTTGATGAGCTTCATAAGGTTAACTTTTGTCAATGGTTTACATTTTTTTCTGTCTGCGATTAACTAATGGCCCATTGCAGAATGGGGAATCTAATGGAGGCGACAAGACTCAGTTTATTCAGAATATTGTGTGCCCCGGATGTGGAATTGTACGATACTGTTCCACAGACTGCCAGGTAAAATTCAAAATTGATTAATTTTTGTTTGAATAATAATTAAGAGTTTAGTTCAGCGCTGTAGATTTATTTTACATATATTTGATGATGATATCATTATGCGTTGAACGTGTTTGACATACTGCAGTTTTTGTTTTTTACTACTTGTGCCAAAAAGGCAGCGCTTATGGAGCAGAATCTAAATAAAGAACTTTTATTGCTGTTCCATAGACTGCGGACAAATCCCAGCAATGGCGCCACGGAAGCGAATGCGCTTTACTCAAAGCTCTCCGCGCCAAAGCCATCGCGCCGCAGCATGATTTACTGCTCATGCTAAAACTTATCGCGCGCTTACAAAACTCCAACTCCGATAACAAACTGAAATCACCAATGCTTTCGGTAAGAAGTTATAAAGCTTAATAGATTCACTAGTTTGACCATCAAATTCACGGTTCAGTATTGTGCGCAATTGTCGCCTCAATTTCTACAATTTTTGTCGCTACTTGCGCTTTGCGCAGTTTGCTTGTCAACACAGTTTGTAGTATTTAAGACGGGCAGACGGTATGTTAACATGTTGAAATATTCTAAATTAGAACCGGAAGTTGTCGATGGCCCGCTGCGAGCGTCGAGGGGGCGTGCCGGCTGCGTCCAACCACGCGACCGAACGGGATTACGCTCGGCTGGTGTCGCACGCGGAGGACATTCTCGGCAGTGAAGTGTGGATGAAGGATGTGCAACAGTTGCGGCAGTTGTTGGCCATGCTGCTCTGGGAAGCCGATGTGCCGGACTTACGCAAGTAAATAAATAAAGATTATGTTTTCCCTACAAAATTACGTTAAAGTATTCCAACAAACATAATAAAATGTAACCAAAAAGGTCAGCTCATAACAAAACTATGCAAGTGTTATAATTACTGTCACTCCAAGGTACATATACAGCAGTAGTAACCTTTATAGATGAATCTTAATAAAAAAATTATTGGCAGTTTGGCGGAAATGTACGGGAAACTGAAGATCAACTCCTTCGACATCAGTGACAAGCACCAGCGCCGCCTGGGCGAGGGCGTGTACCTGGAGGGATCGCAGTTCGACCACGCCTGCCAGCGCAACGCGGTGACCTACTTCGACGGCCTGACACTGGTCGTCAAGGCCATCGACGACATCGGCGACCTCTCGCAGGTACGCAAGTGGCCGCTTCACTGGAAGGCCAGCAGATTGATCCGGAAGGGTGTTTGCATTCAGGTTCGGCTGGCCTATACGGAAATCTTCACGACTACGGCCATTCGGCAGCAGCATCTCCAGAAGTGGTACTTCTTCCAGTGCACTTGTGCGTTATGTGCCGATCCACACAAGGTAAGTAGGCCAGCTACATAAACCTTATAGAGTATCAATGAAGTTAGTATCAAACAGAATTATAACAGATTTAAAATAGAAAATATACGCCTTTAGTTGTTCAAACTCATTTATTGCACATACTAATATTGTAACAGGATGTTTTAAAGCAGTTTCTGAAATTTTGGCTACTTTTGCACATATTACACAGCAAGCGGAACTGGAATGCATCCTGTGCTGTACACCGGCCTGTCAACGCGCCATTCCGTTAAGCTTCGACTTCGACCACCGCGAGGAAGACGCCTGTGCGGACTGCGTCAACTTTGTGGACAGTCAGCTGTCCCTTCTCGAAGTCAACAACGACGCAACCGCCGATTCCGGTCCTTCCTGGAGCGATTTCAGTTGGCATGACGAGATTGCGCAGCGCATGCGCTTAACGCGCCGCTTGTTGACCATTGACCAGCGACAGCACGAGAAGATGCACCGCTTCTTGAATGACGACTCGCGGACGGAACCGGGCGAACGGGAGAAAGTGTTGGAGGAGGTGGAGCATCGCTGTCGGCGGATGCTGGAGACGGCAGAGTTGCTGCTGCATCCCGCCAACTGGACGCGCTGTCTCACGCACAACGTCTTAGGCAAAGTGCTGCTGGCTACTGGAAGCGAGGACAAGCGGAAAGATGCCGCTGAGCAGTTCTCTTTATCGCTGCCCGGATTGCGGTAAGTGACGAAAAAGCACTTTCGCTAAATAAAGCGTAAAGCTATATGTCGCAGACATACAGCGCTAATAAATAAAAACTGTTATTAAACGGCTGATATCTGATTGACAAGATTGGTACGGATAACATGATTTAATAATCTATCTGAATAATTTAAAGGAATATGATTTAATAATAATAATATATGACTTAAAAATAATCTATCCATTTGTTTTGTTAAAGAAAATAACATTACGTAGAGGCCGCTGACCTTTACATGGTTTTACAGACAAGGCGTATGCGCTAATGATCCGCGTTTAGGACTGCAGCTGCTGCTGGCGGCTGTTCTGCCGTTAACCGTTTCTGAGGTAAATTTTTAAACCAAGCACACAACCCAGTTACCAGTGAGTAAAAACTGGAGTGTAATTTGGTTAGTGGAAAGGGACTGAGCCATCCGGGGGACTGTCGCCGGTGCGAACCTACGCCTACGAAGCCAAGGAGATCTTTGCGACATGCGCTGCGAATGATGACCTTCTCTATCGCATCGCGGAGAGCCTGTGCCGGTTATGCGAAAAACGGCATTTGCACGCCAGCGGCCACGGAAGTGCATTGACAACGGAGAGCCAGGAATCGCTGCGCAAGACGTTGAAATTGCTGGCTGGAGTCGTTTGTCGTTCGTTGTTCCCGGTTATTTATTAAATAACGGGCTCTTCCTACTGATTTCACGTTGTCACGGTTGTTTTACTTATTTATATGTACACAGAATAAACTTCTAGTTCTGTCTTTTGAACTAGACTCTGGCTATTGCTAAATACAGGTTTACTGTGCAGTAATCAGCGGTGATTGTAAACCACATTTTGCACGAGCGCGAACTACAGTATAACTGGAAAATGGTATTGAATTTGCGGAATCGCATAACTGATATTGGGCAAGTGCTTTTAAGAAAAGAATACATAAGTAACAACACTGAAAAACAGGTGGATTAATAGAAATTAATGGAACTGGAAAAGGCTTCGTGAAGCACCTCGTAGACACCTCGTGAGACAAATTTGTGCTCTTGACGAAGGCTTAACAGCAGCATCTCGCTGCGCTCGGTGCAAATTACCACGATCATAGACATGTGGCTACAACTGCTAAAAGTCAACTGCTAAAAGTAAGTAACACCCTTGACCCTTTGCCCGTTTCGCCGCGCACTTTAAATGCGCTCTGTAAGTTAAAGTGCCGGAAGTTCTATAGAACTGAATGTACGAATGGTGCAGCGCTGAACCTTACAGAGGGCTACAGAGCAACGAGACCAAAACCTTCAAACTTTCCGAAAGAGTATTTATTTGCAGAATCTTTCGGAAAAAAATTGAATTTAAACTGGAATAAAAACTGGGTGGCACAGTTCCATTGCGCCGGATGTTATCAGTTTCAGTGCATTAAACATTTTCGGCTTGTTTGTTTCCGCATAACATTCCGTTTCCGGTTGCGAAAATATGCATGATATGTGGTGACATAATTATGTTGTGATGTGGTACAGCGAAGTATGTGGTGACATATCGACCGCTAACTAAGTACGAATGTTCCGGATTTCACTGCACAGTAAAATAAGAAGTTGCCACTGAGCATAATCCCAGTTGCGCTACGAACGATTGCCAATACGCGCTACGTTTACCACCACGACAAATTCATTCCTCTCAAGATTTAAGATAGTTCACAAAAAGAGAAGAGTAAATATTATTTTTATAACTTATATCGCCTATAATATCGGTATATGCTAACGAATACGAAATTTAGTCGATATCTGCCCGGCGTACTGCATAAGCCATTCCGAACGCATGGAGGCAGGCAGAACCTGAGAATTCTGATGAACCCTTTGGCGGGATGATTGTCTACCTATTTGGAGACATTTATTAGCTACCTGTACAGTTAGTTTCAATTTGGCGCTACCTGTATGGCTGTATCTGTGTAGTATCTGTAGAGTCTGCCAGCTGAAGCTGGCAGTGACGTAACGTAGCCGCTGCTGAAGGGCGCATATCCGTTACACTGCAGTGTAACGCAGTGCGCACTCTAGCAGCGGCTACGTTTAACATTTGTTGCCAGCCGTTGAGGTTGAACTTAGCTGGAGTTGCTCAGCCCACAACTCCACATACAGAACTACTCTTGGTGCTTCATAGTTCATACTTTGTAACTGTTTGTACTTTATTGCTCCTTGTTGTTGTTGGCGTTTTTTTCAAGAAAGATTACTCATAGTTGCTCATTTCTTACGGAACACATCAGACATCTGATGAATACGCACAGGTTCTTCGAACAGAATGTATCTTTACGAGAATCCTGAACGATCAGTGTACGCCTGGAACGCAGTGGATGTGGAGATTGACGGTCAGCTGCAGCACGGCTACGTGGTCGGCCTGAAGGAGGAGGACAGCACTCCTCCGCGTTTGATCGTCGATTTCGGGTGCCCGCAACAGCAGGCCGTGCTGGTTCCCTACGGGAAGATCTTTGACTGCTCAAACGATCGCTACTGTCACGCTGGCAAGGGAACGGCTGTGGAGGTTCTTCTGCACGACGGCCCACAGCGACCCTGGAGATGGTTTCCCGGGACGATGCTGGTTCCAGACTTCCAACACCTGTACCAAGTAGTGCTGGTGGAGGTGGCACTGGCTGGGCAGAGTCGTCGCGAACTCGTTCCCCGTCAGCAGATTCGCGATGCTCCCGGAGAAGCCGCCCAGCGAACGCCTCTGACAGCGGACCAGTTCGTCATACGGACCTGTCGAGTGCCCAGCGGGTACTGGATTATGGACCGCAGTCGGGCGGCATGGTTGCTGCGTCACCTTGAGAAGACGCTGAAACTGCGACTTGTCACGATTCTTAGCCAAAAGATGCACTCTGTGCGACGGCGCCCCGACCCGTCTTTGTGGAGGGGCCATGAGTTTGACGAGCATCCCGTAAGTTGGTGTCAGCGCTTGTTGTTGAAGTCGACGGTTTAGTTGTATGTACTAGTTGTACTTTGGTGCAGTTTTTGTTCTCGCCTCATAGGCGGATGTTTTCGAGAGTGATTGGAGCAAAGAGGCTCTTGACAGCAAATTCCATAAGGTGACCGAAGACCCCGATGCTTCACCGAAACGGAAAAGACCCTTGACGTTCGGGGAGCGTAAATTGGCGGTGCCACTGGAACTGCTGAAGGAAGTCTTCCACTCGCTGGACACCGTCGACCGCCTGCGCTGTCGCCGCACCTGTCAGCTATGGGAAGCCATTCTCACCTCGGCGGAGCTGTGCCAGGTTCTGCTTGTATCCCGGCAGCAGTTCTTCCCTTCTTTGAAAGTGGGTGGGAATGGCAATTACGTCATGTACAGCTGCATCTTCAAGCAGATCACGCCGGCCACCCGTACTATCTGCATCCGGGAAACCGTGGCATTCCATCTTAGCCGCTGGAACATGCAGAAAGAGACCGCGGAAGCGCTGGCGCTAATTAAAACGACCTTAGACGACGCCGACATCCGCATCGTCCGCTTGATTCTGTACCGGCGCTCGATACGGCTGAACGAGTCCACCTTTGACCGATGGGCATGGACCTCGCCCCTGGGCCTGCTGTCCAGCGAGACTGCCGCGCTGCAGTCCCATTTGGGGGCGCGTTGTGAGCGTTTGGTTTTGAAAGATTATCTCCTCACCGTGGCCAGTAAGAAGAGTGTGGTCTTGATGGAGTCGCGCATTCCGCTGGCCGTCTTCGTCCAGGGACAGGCCGGTGCGGCGCACATTGTGGATCTGTGGGAGCAGAATCTGCACTGCCAGGGGCGGCCGTTGAATCTACAACATATCACCGACGGCCTGGCCAATCTGATCACCAGCCGAGAGAAGGCCAAGAAAGTGATGAAGGTACGTGTGAACGAGCTTGTCCCGTAATTTCTATCGCATTCGCACAGCTACAGGAAATGCGGCAGCAGTGTCAGGCACACTGCATGCACGCCCGAAGATCACGAATGATGATGACTTTGGCTCTGTTTCTAACCTTTGAAATTTATTTATTTACTTATGTCTTAAAACTGGAGAGGGAAAGAATTTGGCATAGTGGTAGACGTAGTTTTATCGGGTGTTATAACGCGTTGCACGAAGTGCTGTTTCCGCAGATTCTCCGCGACTACCAAGCCAACGATCCGCGTCCATCAGCACAGTATCGCGGACGCCGATGGTGTGTGTACAACGTGGCCACCGTGGATGTGGCCAAGCTGAATCGCTTCTGCCTCTAAAGCTAGATCCAGAATAGATCCAGGAACAGAGACAGAAACAGAATCTATCCTGCGGAGTGAGCTATGCAGTATGGGTAGCGAACTACGCGGAAACACGAAACGTCGCACTGCTAATAGCTGACTTTTAATATCGAAAGTCTGGAGAACAGAAAATCAATCAACTGATCGGCGCAGCTCGATCGTAAAACGTAGAGCCAATTCAACAGCGTGCAGCGCTGTGCAGCACGTGCCATGCCGCGCCCACTATCAGAACGCAAGCCAATCACAAGAGACACAACACAGACACGTAGTCCAAAGGCGTAGCGCCACAGGCGTAGCGCCACTGACGTGAACGCTAGTGATCCCGGTCTCACATGCCTCTGGGGGGATGCCGAGCTCCTGTGAGGCTGGACACACTCCCGGATCCACGAGAAGACGACGGTCGCCGGTGTCTGTGTGCGCTCAAAAACATCAAATTCTCTTATTCCATTTATCACATAATTCCAAATGCACAATGTGAAATAAAGAGATCTGTATTAAAATACTATTCCATATCAATTCTAATACAAAAACAGATCAACAGTTATAAGATCAACAAAAGTATTAATCAAATGTAGACTAGGATCCTCCGTTTCTGACTCGTAAAGGTCACAGGTCCTGTCCACCGTTTTCCGCACTTTGGCCCATTCCGCTCGGTTGAGCAATTCTGCGCATCCGTAGTGCGACTTACATCACAATCCGCTTTAAGAATCAGGTGCGTATCAAGTACGACTTAGAAATACTGCTTCATCTTTGGAATATGGTGCGTATCAATTGTACGACTTAAAATGAGATCCGTTAAAGGTCATGGAGGGACGTCGTGTAGACAAGCGTAATTCGCTTCCTCCCTGATAAAGGTCATCCTTTATTGAGATGATCCGTTGAGATGTGCGACTCGTTATGGGTTAATGGTCCCAAAAGGTCATGCGACTGGAATTCCGGTACGGTGACTCTCTTGGGCGGTAATGATCCCAAGGGTCATCCAACTTTTCTTCAAACTTCCATTAAAGGTCATGGAGGAACTTAGCCGATTTTTGCCGACTTTCAAGCATTTCTTCGCTTGCCCCCCTGGTAAAACTTTTAAGTTGACCTTTCCGTCGCACATCCCACTTCAATATGCCTCGAGCGGCCAGAGTGCCGGCAGAGTTTACCGTAACATCTCTGATGGGGCCGGCTAACTACCGCATTAAATTTACCCCATGACGCTTCCACATTAAATCTTTTACTCTTGTTCGCCGCTTGTGGCCCAGCTTCCGTACGAGAGATCCGGCTTGATTACCGTTATTTCTCTCGTTAAGTTTTGACACTGAATCGCTTAAGGAGAGTGGCCGGCATAGTACACCGTAGCGTCTCTGATGGGGCCGGCTAATAGACCGAATCAAATTTAACCCCATTAATATTTCCACCTGTTGTCTTTCTCTTTTTCGCCGCTTATGGCCCATCTTCGTCTTCAAGAGATCCGGCTTGATTACCGTAGTTTCTCTTGCTAATTTATAACACTGAGTCGCTTAAGGAGGAGAGCCGGCTGACTGCCGTAGCAACTCCTTTGGGGCCGGCGTAATAGACCGGATCAATTTAAACCCCAATCGCTGCTCCACATGATTTCTTTATCCTTTGCGATTCTGTGCTATAAACGCTGAAAACAACAATTACACAAATGCAGTTAATGTTAATATGTCACGTCGCCTTTATACAACACCATTTCTCATTTCTCATTCTTGTGACGTACCGACGATTGCCGTAGACGCCCCTTTTAATAGTGTGATCCTAACGATCAGCACTATTCCATTTCATTTGAGTCGCCCTCCTCGCCGTCTCTCGGCTGGCGCTTCTTAGAACTTTCTGGTTGATTGCGGTCAGACGTTCGGTCAACTGGTTCCGTGGAATCAACTGCTATGACCTTTTCCGGGTCAACTTCTCGCTGACCGCGACCTTTCCCTTGGCGACTGCGTTTAACCGCCTCTACCCGGTGGCGTGCGTCATTTTCTTCCAGTCGCAGTCTTCGGTTATTAGGGTCGTCCGCCAGTCGCCGTTGCACATCAGCGAGGTTATCGCGGAGTCGCTGGTTTCTTAGGCCGCGTCGTCCTATCTGGTTAGGGGCGCGTTCTGGGCGTCGGTCGCCTTTATTCACCAGAAATTCGTTGATGTAGACGTCTACTCCGTCCACTGGTTCAATATAATCGCTTCCCATAGTATCTTTGATCTTATTAATCCGCTCTTCGACCTGGGAGGCATGGCGCTGTGTAAGGTTTCCCTTTTCCCTTCGTGTCCTACACTTTTTCAACGCCTTCCGAGCCGTGTGGGCTATTCCAACATGTTCCATAGGCTCTCCCAACTTAACCACGTGAGGTCGGAAAAGTGGCGGGATGTCATCCTTCATTGTGTTAGAAACCAACTGGTTCTGTGTTTTATAGTGTGCCAATCTCGCAGCGAAGACCTTCTGCCCCATCCTTTTTGCGGCATGGTCTGTGGGATCCACCTGTAATCCGATCGATGCTCTAGCTGCAAGTAACTTGAAGGCCGGATTCACATGTCGTAGAACGAATTGAGCCACATATTCTTGTCGTTCATCATAGTCTGTGTAATAAAATTGTGTCATCCCGACTGGGTCAGTCGTGTCCAATGGCACGTCCAATAGGCTCAAATCCAGCAAACTGTGTAATCCATTTCGTCGGATGGGGAGATAACAATCTCGCGCAGAGTCACGAGGAATGTATAGTCGACGAAAAGTTCCTTCTTCCACTCCCCTCTTAATCTCTCTCGCGTACCCAGAATCGAGTAGGAATTGGCTCAACTGTCTCAGAATTGTGCCAATTTTGTTGGCTTCAACCGAATCCGGCTCAAGTCCAAAGTATCGGCAAATTTCGACCGTTTGCTCATCAATATCGGTCGTCTTGTATTCCATATCGATACTTTCAGGACGTCGGTTGTCAAATCTGGAGTTCTGTCGCTGATCAGCCCGGCGATGATTATCCGGTTCTCGTTGACCTTCTGGTTCACGTTGTTCTCCTGACTCAGGCTGCAACGGTTCGTTACTCGCCGGTTGTTCCGGTCGGAGGTCACTATCCAGAATTACATTTCGTCGATGGGTCACGTTCTCTTGAGACGTTTCCGCAATCGAGCTGGTCCCTTCCATCGCATCGTCTTCTTGTACGACGCTCACAATTGGTTCCACGACGTGAACCATTGACTCTACCCGCTGATACTTTGGAGGTGAATCTTCCCGTTCAGTGCTTGATGACCTTTTGCTTGCGCCCGAGTCAAAGGTCGCATAAAATGCGGCTCTCTGTTGCCATCTTTTATCTTGTGGGTCAGGCGTTCGATTTCGCGTATGTTCACGTCTTTTATCCCATGACCTTTCGGGTGTTGACATCCTGACGTTACGATTCCGGAATGCGACTCCCATCGGCACCTGATGCCCTTGCTTTTCAGGCTCTGTACGGAATGTCTCCGCACGCCGTTTTTCTTCACGTCCTCTCGTCGCCGCCAAAATCTTTGCCGTATCGATTTTCCTTTGAATACTCATTTCTGTAACTTCGTCTCCATGGCGCACCCATCCTCTTCCGCCACGGTAATCTCTGTCATGAGAGCGTTCGCGTGACCTTTCGCTACGATAATCCCGTGTCCTTTCGCGGGAGTGTTCACGTGACCTTTCGCTTCGTCTTTCTGAAGTCCGCTCGTGTTCACGTGAATGTCCGCGTGACCTTTCTCTATGCGGCGGTGAACGGGGTCGTGTAAACACGTCATCTCGTCTAAATCCTCTGAGCGCCTGTAGAACATTGCTCTCGTTCTGGCGGGATTTGCGCAGGTCTTCCATACGCTCTTCAATTGCCTTCTTTATGTACGGTGCTGGGGCGAAACCCTTCTGCAGTCTCAATTTCTCCCGCAACAGCGCATCAAATAGTTCCTGTTGCATAGCGGCCGGATCACTCGTCAGAGTGTCAATCTGAATGATAAGAGACTGACGTGTAAGTTGCGCTTCTTCTTCGTTGAGGCTGGCTGTCGGTACAGTTGAACTCGACGGATTTGGCAGCGCCTCTCTTGCGGCCTGTTCGCTCGCCTTTTGATTCGCCGCATTGATCTTTGCCCGGAGTTCGTCCTCCAGCTGTTGCCGTCGCATTTTCTCCTGGTCCTCCTCGAACTTCTTACGGTATGCATCCGTTTGCGGGCATTTCAATGGCTCCAAAGTCTCATCCCAGCCACTTTCATGATTCTGGATCGCTTCCCGGTAACGATCCTCAAGTAGCATCCGCTCTTCAACTGGAATGCAGCCATAGTTCCTCGCGCTGATGAGGTTTCGAAAAACGTCCATGTTCCCCCGTTTAGCTTCCATAAGTCCCACGAGTGAAACGATGTGTGGGTCACCCAACTTGTGAATACAAGTGTAGCAAGGGAATTTCTTGTCAACCTTTTTGTTGTTCCTTAGACAGTCCGGACACTTTGGATTATAGCCCGTAAACTGATCGATGTCTGCCGCCGTTCCCGTACGTTTAGGAGTGGCTTGACCTTTCTGTGCCATTTTTCCGCTTCAATCTGTAATTATAAAACAATCCGTCATATTAACTTCTCCACGTTAATCCTTTCCATTTCCTATCCATATCAAGGCTTTTCTATCATTTTTACGCCTATTCCGTTACTGAGCTGAGACTTTCCTAGCTCCTGCTGCCTTTTCTATCACTGTAACGTGGTAACCTTTCTCACGTTATCAGCACTTTCTGACTACTGTGACCTTTTCTATTAGTCCTAGTACTGCTTTCAGTTGACCTTTCGTAACATTTTTCGCTTTCGTTTTAAACTGTTTTATGCTTTTTCTGTAATATGCAGGGTTCATTACTCGCTGCATATTACACTATATTAGTTCACTCGGATTCTTTCATCGATGGTTTATACGGCTTGAAATCGATTCGACCATCTGGCTTAATATGAAGCACTTCGTCCGCGATCAAGGCTTCAACGGCATTCTTAATCCACTCTTTATCGCTTTCAATATTCAAATCTCCCAATTCGTAATTGACGGCCATGAAGTTTGAAAGGTCATTCCATGACGCTCCATTGGTACCGCCAATGGCGTCCAAAGCTACATCTGTGATGGCTATCTTCCAGGCCTCCAGTTCCATTTTCAGTCTGGGCGTTCGTTCCGTGCCCTGTTTCGGAAGGTAGTAGACGACTTTGTTGTCCTTGTTGTATTTACATCCCAACTTTCCTTCCTTATATGCTCGTTTCAGAGCTCGTTCAGTCATATTAAGTGACGACCTTCC